GAGTACATACTTTTAGGGCGTAGGCCTACGTAGTATAAGTAAGCTAATTGGGACGCAGCTTTAGATTAATAAATCATCAAAGCAGCCAACTAACATTTTTCTTTTTCCTTTATTTGTAAATTTATTTACCACTGTATGACAGAAAGATTCTGAACCATTTTTCATTTAAAGATGAAGATAAAGATGGCTTACCGTGGATAATTATTTGTCGTTTATCAAAGCATCATTTGTTTTTAAAATTGTTTGTAGTATCTTTAATATGAAGAATGATAGTTGTGAATCTTGGCACCGTTTAGCCTGTAAGAATACGTTGTTCCCCTAGAGGTCAAATTATGTCATAGTTTAATTTATGAGTGTGTTTACAGCTCGCACATCTAACAGTTGAAATGAAGTGGAAACTGTAGACATCACTTATGTTTAAGATATAGAAACATACATAGAAACACAAAGTTAGAAGTGGAATATTCTGACTTAATATGTTTGAGGGTATGTTTGATTGCTTTGCTATTTTTAGATCTCGGCATTACATCTACATGTATATATTAATCTCTTTCTTAATTAAGCACTGTGTTTCCCACTTATGAATTTACATTTGTGAATATGCAATTTACAAAAATAAATAAAATTAGTAATACAACCAGCATCCTTTGAGCAATAGTCCGTAATAAAATATCTTTATATTTCACGTATTTATAGGATAAGAGAAATGTATTCAAAATTATCAGCAATAAATATCTCAATATTTTTGGAGAAACACTATCTTGGACCAAAATATTTGAGAAATAGTTTCACCTTTGCCGAAAAAACATTTCAAATAAAAGTTCCTTCATTATTAATAACTGACTTGCCAATAACAACTAGTTCCTAAACCAGTTTTTATTATTATTTATGTATTTATTCCTGTCCAAAATATTGCCCTTATTCCAGATAAAGAATGTGTGGGGAGAAAAGTTGTGTTTGTAAATGATCAAGTGCTTGTTTAATCATAAGTTTTTCCATATTGAGCATTTCAATAAGCCTGAGCATTGAAACATCTGCAACTAAGATCACATTTAGTCCTATTTACTCATATTATTATAAAAAATACTGTAAATATGTTCATTATCTGTAAATGTTTATTTTGACTAAACCTATCTGGGTTTTTATGCTTTTTAAAATTTGTTATTCTTAAATGTTATTATGTTTTGTTATATTTATATGTGTTGAAAAACACCTGGCAATAAATGGAGTAATTCCAATCGGGTCCATCGGTGCTCGGCCCTAAAAAGATCTTTCTGATTATTCACTAAAATATTGTTTTAGCTATTTTAAGACCAGCTACCTAATATTGCACAATATTAGCACTATCCTCCAGACAATGTAGTACACTTGTGAGAGAGACAGATTTAATACTATACTAGGCAAATATTGATTTTCTTGAAGAAAAATGAAAAAAAAAAAAATCAAAGAATCTTGGCAAATGAAGCATCATGTGATTGTAGTTCATCCCTTCATAAATATATTACATGACATGTTTCTATTTGCACTATTTAGTTGCTGCATACAATTATGAAACAGAATAGAATCGCAACATCACATACATTAGTAATAAAAAATGAAAACAGAGAAATTAAAGAAATATAAAATGGATGGTATTAAAGAAGAAAATAAAGTATTATCGTTGTGAACACTAGATGGCCCAATACACCAGATTAATCTAATGAACCTTTTCCAGTTCAGAGAGAGAGAGAGAGAGAGAGAGAGAGAGAGAGAGAGAGAGAGAGAGAGAGAGAGAGAGAGAGAGAGAGAGAGAGAGAGAGAGAGAGAGAGAGAGAGAGAGAGAGAGAGAGAGCACTGGTTCTCAAAGCTTATTTCACCATCACTACATTTACATCACATTTATGCTTTTAGCAGATGTTTTATCCAAAGTCTATTACAAAAGAGGAGCAAAAACATTCATCAAAGAGCCAACAATCGTTGCAGTTCATAATGCGGTTTATTAGATAACTACAGTGGATAAACAAGAAGTTTAGGCAAGCTTGTGTCCTGTGTGCTCTTTCTGTGAGATATTCTCTCCAGATTAATTATAGTTGTATTGTTTTATCTCATATTGTGCAATAATCCCTCCAGACATCACTTTAACCACTACTGTATCAATCCCTGACCAGACCTCAAACGTCCATATCAACAGCGGCTCGCGGTTTGGTTAGCCTTAAAAAAGACCATTTCACCCTTATAAAGCATCTAATGCCTATATAAAAGTAACGTTTCTTGGAGGCTTTTAAAAGTGTAAGATAATCCTGTTTTTCACAGTCTGCTGAAGGAAGTGTTAATATAGAGCATCAGCATTAGAGCATTAATATGCAAATCATGGAAATATAGAGACATACAGCTGAACATCACTCTTTTCTTTTCACATACATATAATAAACTCTGATATACAGTATATTCACAGATATCACAGAGAGGTTTTCTCAGTAAAACAAAAAAGGAAGTTAAATTGTCGCCCCTTCAACTCACGTGATTCACAGGAACACACACTCACGCTATTCACACCTCAAGACATGCAAACACTGAAGCACATTAACCACAAACATCCAGTTAAAACACATTCTCACACACACTCTCTGACCAACAGATCAAACTACATTCATTGATATCTGAAAATGAGGCCTTCTGTAGTTTGAGCTGCAATACAATAGTGTGAAAATATATTAAAAATGTCATGTCATTAAATGTGCTTTCATTCTGCAAATGTTCTTGCTTAACGTGCCCCTATTATGCTATTTTAAAGGTTTCTAAATAGTTTTGTTTTGGATTTATAAATATATTTACATGCATCCAATGTCACAAAGATGCTGAAAACTTTGTGTTCGCAGATTCATTCTTTTTTAAACCCAGTCTGTTGTGATTGGTCTACTTTGCTCTGATTGGTCAGATGTCTCAGTCTGTTGTGACTGGTCTACTCTGCTCTGATTGGTCAGATGGCTCAGTCTGTTGTGATTGGTCTACTCTGCTCTGATTGGTCAGATTGCTCAGTCTGTTGTGACTGGTCTACTCTGCTTAAGTTTTAAATAAAATATATTTACTAAGTTAAAGTTGAAGCTCCAATCTCCTCCCGAAAATCCCCCAAAACGTGTGTTGGCGCCAGTGTTGCCAGATGTACGATAATTATCGTATTTGTACGATAATTTTGACCTCTGTACGATGTACGATCAATAATGAAAAAAATCCCATAATGTACGATAATTTCAGAGTTTTCAGTCGTTCGTCCAAACACATCCTACCGCTTCTCTCTCTGACCCCGAATCATTTTGCAGGCTCCCCTGCCAGCACGCAAGCACCTAACACACACACACACACACTACACTACAGTTTTGCTGAAGAAGACAGTTCAGTTAAATCAGTCTAAACAAAACGAAGCAGTGAAGTGATAAAAAAAATGAGCTCAGAAAGGAAAGGTGAGGACAGTGGAGGAGTGAAGAGAAAGGCAGAGTCTGAAGAGCACTGGAAAAGTAAGCATAGGCCACCCACAAACATATAGGACAGAGTGGGAAAAAGACCCCACTTTTTTTAGGATGGCTAAAACCGGTTCCAGGAAACGATGCTAAAGCAGTCTGTCGTTGACCAGTGGAGGCGATTGCCTGTCATGGCCTTGAGTGAAGACACGAAAGAAATGGATGTCAATGAATTTTGGCATCATATTTCTACGTTGGAAGAATTTAATTAGAATAGAATTTGAATGTTTCTAGAGTCGATTGTGCCCTTTTTTTCTCTCTGTATCATAGTTAAATTATAGTCTAGTTCAAAATGTGAACTGTCGGCATATCTTTTGCACTAAGGCAAAAAAAAGTTAAGTTGCCAGATTTCCTCCAGTTTGAGCGTATTACACAGCTTGTTTAAATTGGCTGTAAAATTATGTGGAAAATAAAATTGTTGGAAAATAGCTTTATATTATGCGTTTGGTTTGTGTACGATAATTGTTCTCAAAAAACGATAATTTTGAGGTTTTGGTACGATACTTTGACATTTCTAATCTGGCAACACTGGTTGGCGCCTCAGTGACTACTTCTCTCAGAGAAGCTGTCAATCATGACGTGATTTGGAGAGAAGGGGGGCCTTGGAATAAAAAAGGTTGAGAACCAATGATTTAGTGTATGAATTTTGATGTAACATCAATTGGAAAAGCTCCATTATTTGGTCTGTAAATAACTTTTTTTTTGGATTACTTTTGAATCTGGGCAAATAATAGATAAAGTGTCGTGTTGGCACAATAATTTGAAAACTTTTTGTAATTTTCACACTGTTGAATAGATTAATCTAAACTTACACTAACCAAATTCTGCTCATGATTAAAATTCAATAGAATTATATTTACCTGATTTATTCTGTGAATTTTACCTGATTTTTATATACTGCTTGATAATAAAAGTACAACACACAGTGTTACACACCTCTGACCTGCAACTCCTCTTTAACTGTTGGTAGATACTTAAAGAAGGTTTATCTAGAGGAAGTCAGACTGTGCGGTTCATAACAGGAAGATGTCCTTCACCTTCAAACTAAACGCAGATTAAACAAATGCCCGCTATCATGCAAAAGCTGTTTGTCCATTCAAAAGATCAAACCCTGTTTTTGAGGGTTTGAAAACAGGGCCACAGCAGGTTTCAGTTTTACTCAGACGAACTGCTAGTGAAGACTGGAACGTTTTTGTTTTGCCATTCACAATCACAACCACTGAATAATTATAAAACCATATTTAAAAATCCACAAACTTATTCACCATTAAATTTAAGTTGAATAATCCACTATTTCACACAAGTTTCCACTCTTATATATTATTTAAATATTTGGGCCAATGACAAGATGCCTACATTTTCTGTCCAATTGCTTACAATGGGTAGGTTTAGAGATACGGTTATTTGTATACACAAATAACGTCTTTGGAGAGTCCCCACAAAGATATCAAAACCGAGTGTGAGTGTGAGTTTGAACTAGGTCAAACTCTGTTGTGGGAGGATTTACACATCAGATACACCAAGTGTTTCCAGCAGACCGTTTTGTTAGGTCACTGAACTATTGAAGAAAATGTTTCACATGTTTGTTCTGTTCTGTTTGTACTGGTGGAGACTGACGGGTAAGTTAGAAATATAATTCAGTTTCTTTCCATATCACTGTAGCAAAGCTTTTGCTTTAATTGAGATTAGTTAGAGGACTTTAATTTAATGTTCAGACCATATAAAATAAAACAATTTTTTTTGAAATATTTAACATCTGTTTGTTCTCCAGGTGTGTTTGTTGAGTCGGTGTCAGTGATGGAGGGAGATTCTGTCACTCTAAACTCGGATCTTTCTGAAATACGTGAAAGCGACGAGATACTGTGGAAATCTGGAGTTGAAAACTCTCTGATAGCTGAAATCAATAGACCTGCTCGAAAATTCTCCACATATTATGGTCCTGATGGGAGATTCAGAGACAGACTGAAGCTGGACAATCAAACTGGATCTCTGACCATCATGAACATCACAACTGAACATGAGGGACATTATGAACTAGAGATAAATGGAGCTATGTGGTCATCAAAAACATTCAGTGTTTCCGTCTATGGTCAGTCAATTCTTGTTTTATTAAAGAAATATTTTAAGTTGAATGCAAATTAAGCTTAATTCACAGCATTTGTGGCATGAGGCATTACTACAAAAAAAAATATTTTGGCTAGGTTTTAAAAGAAGAAATGTACCATTTTAATAAATAAATAATTCTATATTAACTTACATTAATTAAATCTATTTTTGAATCAAATTTTTAGCGATACTAGGAAGAAATTATTTTGTTAATTTTTACAGCTTCTGGAGCTCTTTACGTTACTGTGTAATGTCTGTGGACTGAAGGCCTTAAAATTAAGATTCCAAAAGAGAGTTTCATAGGGAAAAAAAAAAAAAAATCTATAATGATATTTAGATATTTTTAAAACTTCTTGAGTTACACATGCAAACTTCAGAAAAATATTCTTTTTTTTGCATGCAAGTGTTTTCATAGAAGGAAACGAGATGAATTTCTAATTTCAACATTATTTGTTCTAGCCATTTCCCTTTATATGCAATAATTATCGGCTGTGTGTAAAGTGACCCACAGTTGGATCTCGTTTTTCTACGTTATTTTTTCTTCAGATATTCCACTTTAAAAAAAAAAAAATGAAAGAAAAAAAAATGAAAAAACAAAACATATGGGGCCTTTAAAATGAAGATACCAAAAAAAATGTTTGTTAAATCAAAATCTTAAAGGATATTAAGATATCTTGAATATTTACAGTCAGTCATGCACTTGGGTAAAAAAAAAAAAATAATAATAATTGCTTTTTGACATTTCTGAACTGTCAGCGTTGGCATATAATGCCACACAAATTGTTAAATTAAACATATTTTATTAATAGACCTACCAATCTCTGTGTAAAAATAAGTAAATATTCATCCATAACATTTAATATTTTGACTTTCTTCATTTTTGTATTTCTTTCTACAGAAAAAAAAGTCTAAATAAATTATTTTAACCGGGGACCGCTAATTGAGTTGACACGGAATGACTCTACAGCGGTTTTAGGTTTCTACAATGAGACAAATTTATAAACATAGATATACAGAAATAAGGTGATTTTATCACGCTAAGATTATGTTAACATGCATATTGTCCAAATCTTGTGGGTGTACACTACAGTTGTTAATGCAAAGTTTAAAGATCCATTCACTGCCATTGTGTCTCATACATATCTATTAATCATTTTTGGCTTTTGTGCTGGAAATAGATTTGTGGTAATCAAAATTATGCCTCAAATGCTTTAGATTGAGCTGAACTGAACTTTGGATATTCCTTTAACTGATATTGATATTGAAGGTTTAATTATATTATAGTTTGAGATGACTTTCACTGACCATCAACACACTAAACACTAACGCAGCACAAAAATTACTACCATTCATTACAACACACTACACTAAAAATAACGATTGCTGTAGATTTACCCATATTTATTGTCTTTTTTTTTTAGCTCGTTTGCCTGTTCCTGTCATTATCAGAGTTTTTTCACCAAATCTTACATCATCATCAAGCCAGAATTGTTCATTGGTGTGTTCATCATCAGTGTTGAGTGTGTGTGACGCGACTCTGTCCTGGTACAAAGGAATCAGAGTGTTGTCCAGCATCAGTGTGTGTGATCTCAGCATCAGTCTCTCTCTACCTCTGGAGGTGGAATATCAGGATAAAAACACCTACAGCTGTGTGCTGAACAATCCCATCAGCAAGCAGATGAAAAATCTCAACATCACGCAACTCTGTCAGCATAGGCGGAGTGTGAACCAACTCCAGGGTAAGGCTGAATGCACTTCCTTCTTAAAAGCACATTTAAATAGAATGCCACGAAATAGGGCTTGATCCCTCAGTAAAGCGGCACCAAGCAGTGGGCCAAAAAGTATTTAGTCAGCCACTGATTGTGCAAGTTCTCCTACATAGAATGATGAGAGAGGTCTAGGTACACTTCAACAATGAGAGACAAAATGAAGAAGAAAAAAAATCCAGGAAATCACATTTTAGGATTTTTAAGGAATTTATTTGTAAATTATGGTGGAAAATAGTATTTGTACTATTTGGTCAATAACAAAAGTTCAACTCAATCCTTTGTAACATAACCTTTGTTGGCAATGACAGAGGTCAAACGTTTCCTGTAAGTCTTGAGCAGGTTTGCACACACTGTAGCTGGTGTTTCGGCCCATTCCTCCATGCAGATCTCCTCTAGAGCAGTGATGTTTCGGGGCAACACAGGCTTTCAACTCCCTACACAAAATTTCTCTGGGGTTGAGGTGTGGAGACTGGCTAGGCCACTCCAGGACCTTGAAATGCTTTTTATGGAGCCACTCCTTCATTGCCCGGGTGGTGTGTTTGGGATCGTCATGCTGGAAGATCCAGCCACGTTTCATCTTCAAGGCTCTCACTGATGGAAGGATGTTTCGGCTTAAAATCTCACGATACATGGCCCCGTTCATTCTTCCCTCAACACGAGTCAGTTTTCCTGTCCCCTTTGCAGAAAAACAGCCCCGAAGCATGACGTTTCCTCCCCCATGCTTCACAGTAGGTGTGGTGTCCTTGGGAAGCAACTCTACATTCTTCTTCCTCCAAACACGACGAGTTGAGTTTTTAACAAAAAGTTTCATCTGACCACATGATATTCTCCCAATCCTCTTCTGGATCATCCATATGCTCTCTGGCAAACTTCAGATGGGCCTGGACATGTACTGGCTTAAGCAGAGGGACACGGCGGGCACTGCAGGATTAGAGTCCCTCTCGGTGTAGTGTGTTACTGATGGTAACCTTTGTTACTTTGTCCCAGCTCTCGGCAGGTCATTCATCAGGTCCCAAAGGACACCAGGAAGAAAATTGTAGACCTGCACCAGGCTGGGAAGAGTGAATACAATAGGCAAGCAGTGTGAAAAAAAATCAACTGAGGGAGCAATTGTAAAAAAATGGAAGACATACAAGATCACTGATAATCTCCCTCGATCTGGGGCTCCACGCAAGATCTCATCCCGTGGGGTCAAAATGATCATGAGAACGGTGAGCAATGGTAGCCTTTGTTACTTTGGTCCCAGCTCTCGGCAGGTCATTCATCAGGTCCCTCTGTGTAGTTCTGGGATTTTTGCTCACCGTTCTCATGATCATTTTGACTATCTGAAGAAATCCACATACTCAGATTTTTTGGTGCCTTTTCGGATACCTTTAAATGTCCTGGACGATTTCAACCAATCATAGCGTACAAGGTTGCCTTATGCCGAGTTCAGACTGCATGATTTTAGCCACGATTTTGGCTCGCCGACAGGTTTTGAGAAATCGCCGACAAATGCCCGAAATCACAGGCAAATCGGCGCTCGTTCACGCGAGTGACAATCACGCAGTGTGAATGAACAAAGACGCGAACTGAGAGAATCACCGACGAGTCGCCGACGCCCGTGAGATATTTGGCATGCTAAATATCTGGACCTGTCGGCGATTCAAAATCCTGCTGTGTGAAAAGTGTTTTGACTGAAAACTACATCGGCGATCACCGGCAGCCAGTGAGAGAGCAAGATACAGAGCAGCGGGGAGTTCGGGGAGGAGTTATAGATCACATATCAACATGATATGGCATTGTTTCAACAAAAAAAGCTTCTTCTCGGTTTATTTGGACACAATAAATGGAAGAAAAATGAGTAGAAATTTGGCAGGAGCACTCGTGTCTGTTTCACCAGCTGTACCACAACCGGGTCGAAAAAAAAAGTCTCACGTGAGAACTCCGGTCTTGCACGTGTGGTGTCGCGCGTTGTTTCCTTTTCATATCTCACGCGTGTTTGTTGTGAAATGTAGTTTGCGTGCAGCGTGCTAGACAGAGTCTGTCGGCGATTTTTCTAAAGTCATGCAGTGTGAAACCTTCTGTCGCCGATCCATCGTCCAGTGTGAACACAGCAGCGACTGAATGCTGGCCAAGATAGTCATGCAGTTTGAAAAGAGCAGCGACCTGACTACTTTGAAAATCGTGCAGTCTGAAAGAGCCATTAGTGACATTCGTGCTGAGGTGAATTCAGTCGGAGAGAGAAGACGCATCATAATTATTAGTTAAGATACTTGCAGTTTCAGTTTAGTTAATCTGTTGTGTTCGACGATTATTCAGCTGGTTTACATATACATTGAGTCGCTGTGTGCGTACATACCAAGTAAGTTTATATTTCCAAGTTTTTCCGTTAGTATGCAGAAACTGTTAGACGACCCTGCAAACATGCCCCTGCGGGGCCGACGCTGGCTTTTTGTGGGCACAGTGGGCTAGGGCCAGCCCACGCCAAACCTAAACAGGCCCAGTGCGGGTTGCCCAGACGAGGCCCACAGCTTTGGGCTCACTGCGGGCTATCAGTGAGCAGCCCACACTAGCGGGCTGCCCACATTAAGCCCATGATGGCCCACTGTGGGCCATCCCATTCGGGCCCATGAGCAGGTTTTGCACCTTTGGGCCCATGCGGGTTTAGTTTATGTAGCCCACATTTAGATTTGCCCACATGCCCACAATGTCGTCAGTACGTCCTCTAATCATAATAACTTGGTAATTTTAATTCTCTTAAAAATTAAAAAAAAATAATAATAAAAAATATATATATATATATATATATATATATATATATATATATATATATATATATATATATATTAAGAGAATAAGAAAGCACTAATAATATATATATATATATATATATATATATATATATATATATAAAGAGAATAAGAAAGCACTAATAACTTGGTCATTTTAATTCTCTTAAAAAAATTTTTTAAACAATTTAAATATATATATATATATATATATATATATATATATAAGAGAATAAGAAAGCACTCTTTATATAAAGATGGTAATGAAATTACCTGTGGCCTGTTGCAGTTTCATTCCACACTTTATGTTACATATTTATATTACACGTTGCTCTTTATATTACATGTAGGCCTTTATATAATACAGATGTCATGAAATTGCTTTACAATAAAAGTAAAAGCAAAATGGTATTAAAAAGCATAATTGTCAACTGAATGGGTCATAGAACTACACAATGAGTTTAAATTCATTATATAAAATTAATGATATTTTAAATTGTTAAATGTTATAATTCTAGATGTTTATTTAAATGCTGCGTGCCTTTTGACGTGTTCTATGGTTTCAATATGGGCGTACGTGCGCGAGTCGCATTCAAATCTGATTCAAAGACAGGAGCGCGCGCGAGCAGATGGAAACCATGGAAACGAGGAAACCCATCAACTGACAAACAGCAAACTAGCGTCTCTCACTGTTGTTTTCTCTGCTTTCAGGTAAGTCTAGTTACCAAAATCACACAAATAATACATACAAACCTTCCTGATATATGTCTTACGTGTAATTGATACACTTCTGTTGAATATTTACTTTATAGAAATAGTTTTGTGTCCTCGATAAAGTCCGTTAGCATCTGACTGAACCGTTTTCAGAAGAGCTAACGTTAACGTTAAGTTGTTTACGTTACAATTGAGCTCTTGTTTTACATAAGTGTGGGTTTTTAACCACATTTTTGTGTTGATAACAGTTTTTGATAGTTTGTTTTGCTGGTAATTTGTCAATGGGTGATTGGAAGTTAGCTAAGTTAATTTATTTAACCTTGAAAGAATTCATTGTAACGTACTTAATGACGTCATTTACAAATATTGGTAATAAGTGATTTCAGAAGGAACAAGAAAAAAACACAACAAAGGGGAATTATTGTTTAATCATGATAATTATTTCATATGCATTATTGCACAATATATTACCTTAAGATTTTTTATGTATATTCTTTAGCTATGCTCTAGCTTGCTTCCTTGTATTAAACCCTTTGTTCTATTGTAAATTCAATGTAATATTGTTGGCTCTGTGACACATTGCATGTTATTTTCTTGAAGATCATCATAGATGTCCTGCTGCACCCCCTGGGGTCCAAGACAATCTCCACGGCTATGACCTCGACTATAGTAAGCAAAACTTCATACATACTGTTTAATTGTTGTGGGTCTGTAGGATTTATGATTTTGAATGAAGTCTCTCACTTTAAATTCATTAACTACAGTTTTTTTCAGTGACATTGCACTTGAGAAGCTAAATAATAGGTGGCAAATATAATGTTATAATAGTCATAGTTATAATAATTCAGGATAATAGTCATGGGTATATATATATATATATATATATATATATAATTTTTTTATTTTATTTTTTCTCTGGGTGTGTTTTTAATTATGTTGGCCAATGAGACACCATACTGTCCAACTCAAAGCTATTTTTTTATGTATGTTTGACTGATAAATACTGAAATTCTTTTTACTTTCAAATGCTGAATTCAGGGGGTTATGGCTGTGCTCTTGTTACCAGATGAGATATCATTTGATCCTGTGATTCTTCAGGACAAGATCTTGATGCCATCCACACCCAGTACATGACGAAGGTGAGTTTCACAATAGCTATATCACCATCACAAACCAAGAGGCCAAACACAACAGGCCTTCATCCATATGAACTCACCCATATGTAGGAATAGGTTCCGAAACCCGGTATTAAACATTAAACGGGCCCTGGGGCCAAATTAAGGAAGACTGCAGTATCGATAAGCTCAGATGTTATCAGTTCTGCTGACGGTACTGAAGAAATTACACACACACTATTTATTATAGACATTATCTTGTGTCATTGTCATGTGTTTTTCAGGCTGGTTGTTTGTCATTTTGTAAGAGTAGAGAGAGGCTGTACCTCAGTGAAGACTTATTTTACATTAGATAATTCAATTTCCGTACGTGATAAGTTAGATTTTCCGAAAAAACTTCATGCACTGCTTATTTCAATTGTATTTTTCTTCTATTGAATTTATCAATACTTGTAATTTGTTATAATTTTCAATGCAGATTCACTCAATAATCTCTTGAAATTTGTTTTTATATCGCAATATATATAGCAGCAGATAAACAAAATGTTTTATTTAAGGTTTTTAGTATTGTGCAGCTCTAATATTGAGCATTTAACCTGATTGAACCTGGAATTGTTATAATAACCTGGAATAATTTGTGATACCAGATGTATGATTATGTATGATAGATTTTGAACTGTATTTTTTTTTTTTTTTTTTTTGCAGGTTTTCTGGGATCCACAGTGGAAGGCATCAAGGCGTGAGATGTTGGCTGGACAGATGTACCTGTACACCACACCGACCTCTGCTTTTACATGGATGGCGGATTACTATCATGTTCTGTAAAGGTTTCATTATAGCAAAACAGAGCACCTGTGACAGTGGAATCTGTAGGTGTAACGTAGTCAGTTAAAAGTAGTCAGGTGTAAAGTAGTCACAGAGAGAACGTTTTTTTTTTTTTAAGTTTCAAACTTTTTTCTCTTTCACAAAAAACACTGCAGTTACAGCTTTTCAAATTCTTCATTGGAGGTGTACAAATAATTTTCTTTTTTTCAAATCACAAAAAGGGCTGTGCAAAAATTAATTGCAATTAATCGCATCCAAAATAAAAGTCTGTGTTTACATAATATATTTGTGTGTGCTGTATATAATTATTTTGTATATATAAATACCTATGCATGCATGTATATATTTAAGAATTATTTGCACTTAAATTCTGTGTATATATATATATATATATATATATATATATATATGAATACATAATCTATATTATATAAATATAAATATTTTATATATGAATAACACATTTTCTTAAATATATACATGCATGTGTGTGTATTTATATATACAATATAGGGCTGTGTAACGATTAATTGCATCAAAAATAAAAGTTTGTGTTTACATGATATATGTCTGTATAATTATTTTGTATATATAAATACACACATATGCATGTATATATTTAAGAAAAATGTGTTATTGATATATCAAAGATTTGTATTTATGTATAATATTAATTTTGTATAAACATATATACAGTACAAACATGCAAATATTTCTTAAATATATACATGCATGTGTGTGTATTTATATATACAAAATAATTATACACACTACACAAACGTATATAATTTATGTGAACACAAACTTTTATTTTGGATGTGATTAATCGCGATTAATCGTTTCACAGCCCTAATACAAAATAATTATATACAGCACACACAAATATATTATGTAAACACAGACTTTTATTTTGAATGCGATTAATCGCAATTAACTTTTGCACAGCCCTGTAAGAAATGTATGCTGACATTTAAGGCACGGCCACACGGGGTTTGAGCATATGTGACTGTGAATGAAAAGTGAAGTGTGACCACATGAGAATAGCCAAACAGTATAGATGATTCACAAAATTATACACCAAGAAATGTGCATAATTGGCCAAAATGTTACTGTTTATCAACAAAAATATGACCCTATGAGTTTGGTAATTTTTAGAATAGGATTTGTGCACCTGCAATGAAGAATTTAACTGATGTTTTGTGTAACTGATGTGTTGTGTTTGTGAGAGAGAGAAAGCAAAGAAAAAGAGGTTTGCAACTCATAAAACATTTTCTCGAAGACTAAAAATCTACAAATTGCACTGTTATAGGGACTCTGTTTAGCTTCAATATTACTAGATATAATACAGTGTCAATCTTATTAACTACTATTTATTTTGTATAAAATCATATACAGTATACAGGTAAAAAATTTGGAAACATTTTGGAAGAAGTCTATTCTGCTTATCAAGCTTGCATTTATTTGCATTTATTTAAAAAAAAAACTTTTTAATATTGTGAAATTTTATCATAATGTAAAACAGCTGTTTTCTATGTTTCTGTTTTTTATGTGAATATATAATAGTGTAATTATATTATATATAATAACCTGAATTTAATGTTTTATGTTTTGTAATTAATAAATACATTGATTTGAAATCCCTTTGACTTCTGTACATTTGTGAAAATACAGAAATTAGTTATGTGGTGACTGCATTCAGATGTATAGAATAATTGTTTTTCCCAAAGACTTATAGTTATATTAGCCAAAAAGTATTTATAGTGAAACAGATTAATTGTGAACTATATCTATTGTTGTAGATGCCCTGTGTGTGCGGTGCGGGCCCTGTGTGGGCTTAGTGAGGGATTCCTTGGGGCTAAGTGAGGGCTGCCCATGCAGGGCCAACGTTTTGTGGGCCCAGTGTGCGGGCCCTGTGTGGGTTTAGTGAGGGCTAAGTGAGGGCTGCCCATGCAGGGCCAACGTTTTGTGGGCCCAGTGTGCGGGCCCTGTGTGGGTTTAGTGAGGGCTAAGTGAGGGCTGCCCATGCAGGCCCAACGTTTTGCCAATGAGCAAATTCTCATGGGCCCTGCGCTAGCAGCCTGCAGGGGGCCCTTAGGCTAGCCCTAAGTGGGCCCGGACAGGGCCAGTGCAGGCTTGTTTGCAGGGGATGTTCATTAGCGCGAGCGGTACCTGATTGGCATAAATCTGCCTGTATTACTTCTTCTTTAGTAATATTTCGGAGATTCTGCATGTTACTTTATGTTATGTATGAGACATTATGTTATTATTGGTTTTACGGTTACTTTAGAGATGATCATTATCATGAGGTAATCAGCGCCGTATACTGAGCATATGGAATGTTTAGTTAAACGCATTTATGTGCTATTAGCACCTCCTTGTGGTGATGTTTAGAATTATTATTCTGTCTGATAGCACTTCCTTAATGGGTTTGTTAGACTGAATGCTGTTAATAATGTTTATTATGTATCATGTATATGTATGCTAATATTTATTTCTTTGTTTAATTTGTTATAGAACCACACCTACATACCCCATATGTAAATCAACCAGCTCTTCAGTAAATAAGTGAAGTTTGAACCTGGTGTGTCTGTTCAACTAAGCATCATCTTATACAGTTCTGACCGACTGCCTGCTGCGTTTCACATCCATTAAAATTAGTCTACTGTATCGAACCTCTTCATTTCACAATCAGAAACCGATGTTTAAGTTAGAACATTTCATGCTAGTCTCAAGTCTGTGTCCCAGGGGTAGGGTAAGCCGGCTCCAAGCTTACACACTCCGCTATGTCTGCCAGATTTACTCGTACGCGCTGTAGTGGTGATAGTAGTGATTATTTTTTTAACCTGGTCTCTATTTTTGACTCAAAAATAAAAGATCACTGAGGTCTCAGTCTTGATGGTGGTAAGATTTACATTAGTTGTGTCTTACAGATCTGGGCCTACCTTTACTGTACATCGTGTTGATCTCTGCTGCTGGATGTCTGATGATTGTTGCTGTGGTTGTGATCTTCTGCATCTGCAAGAAATGTAGAAAAACAGGTAAATCAGGAATTTAATTATGAATTTAATTATGAATTTAATTATGAATAATCAGATATACAGATATGAGATTACAAGCTTTGTCATTTTAATACTTCTTTGATTATTAATGCAGTCGAGACACGGGAAAACGACAGGATGGATTCGGTGTTGTGTAAACCAAAATCACATAAAACGGTAAGATGGGCCTACTTCACGACTTGTGTTGTAAGAAGTTGTTGCACTGGAGTAGTCTGAAGCACTCAAGCACAATGTTGCTAATAAACTGTAATTTAGGGTGCTTTTACACTGAGCTCGTTTGAGTTTCACAATTCACAATCAGTGTGTTTGCATGCATATTATGTCACTGCAAATTAACATGCATGATAGAAAACAGAACAGAGAAGCCTACATTGAAACAATTTTTTTTCGTTATTCTAAAGACTTCACATTTTCATATACCATTAGACTTTGATTGGAAGGAAAGTAGGACAAAGTTGTTAAGCATGTCATTTGTCTATACCAGCAGCTGCTTTGCGGTTCATGATTATTCAGATTTTTTTTCAGCTTTGTTGTTTGCTTTGTAGCTATAGGCGTTCGTGCTGCCTGTAACTTCATAATATGAGCAAATCATTTGTTGCAAGTTGTTTGGGGCGCGTATCAATAGGCTTGTTTGAGATGCGCCTCGCCTCGCCTGCAATGTAGTCCAGAGTAGGCGGCTGCAGTGAGGGGAGGAGTGAAAAAAGCGCATTCAAGCCGGACAAATCTCGGTTCTCGCAGTGAATCAGACACCTGTGAGATCAAAGTCTGATATTGCGGGATTCACGCTCGTGCACGTGTTGCTCAGATATCTATGGTGTTGCTAATAAACTGGATGTGATTTAAGTTCTGTTGCTTTTATATGAAAATAAATATAATGAACAAGACATCCAAAGTACTGGTTATTTAATTAGGCTACATTCCAAATATGTGTTTATCAATCTTTTTTTTTTTAAATACAGAAAGAGAACAATTCATCACTGTTGTTGTTTTTTTATTTTATTTTTTATTTTTTTTATTAGAATGCAAGTTACAAACAAGCACCACAATTCGTGAAACAAATATTATACAGTGACAAATAAATAAACATCAGAATAAAATTAATAAAAATAAATCAAAATAAGCTTAGTTTAAATAGACAGACTTACAACCTTCATCATCTTTAAAATGAGAGATATTTTCCTAATTTTCAGTTGAACATTTTAGAGTATATTTGAGTTACTGACATGGCTTTCTAATTTTTAACCCGTTTAAGAGACTCACAATATCAGTTTCAATTTGAAAAAAATTAAAACATGGCCTTGATTTGGAGAATTCAGCTTTATGAATATGGAATTTACCTACATCACTGTTGTTTAAACCAATGAGCATTAAGCTGTGTCGTCAGCAAGTCGTTTCCCATCATGCTTTTGATCTGCGCAGTCGGCGGAGAGCAGGCTTGTTTGAGATGAGCAAATTCTGCGCAGAATCGATCACCGGTGATCAGCGCGAGATGCATGCCGGTTAGAAATGTGTCCGAGAACGGTCCGCCTGGCTCTGATGTCATGCCGACGTATGTCAAAAAACTCTCGCGAGCGCAAGGCGGAAGGGTCGGATTCTGCAGTCGCGCGCAGTTGCTCTCCACCGACTGCGCTGATCAAAATCATGATGGGAAACGACTTGCTGACGACACAGCTTAATGCTCATTGGTTTAAACAACAGTGATGAAGGTAAATTCCATATTCATTAAGCTAAATTCTCCAAATCAAGGCCATGTTTTATTTATTTATTGTTTTCAAATTGAAACTGATCTATATTGTGAATCTCTTAAACGGGTTAAAAATAAGAAAGCTATAGTCAGTAACTCAAATATACTAGGCCTACTCTAAAATGTTCAAGTGAAAAATAGCTCTCATTTTATAGATGATGAAGTTTGTAAGTCTGTCTATGTTTGTAACTTGCATTCTAATAAAAAAGTAAAATAAATAAAAATAAAAGAACACCAGATGAATTGTTCTCTTTTAAAATGTTTGATTTTAAAACTGATATCATGTTTTATGTGTATACATAGGCTATGGGTGAATAAACTATCTGACAGTGCCATATGGGTTATATTTCATTTTTGTTAAAACAATAGGCTATATAAAAACACGTCTGTATTAAAGAAAAAAAAAGATTGATAAACCATAGGCTATTTGGAATGTAATTAAATAACAAGTAGTTTGGGTTTTATTTACATTTTATTTATTTTTATATAAAAGCAACAGAACTCACATCCAGTTTATTAGCAACACGTGCACGAGCGTGAATCCCGTTAATCCCGCGATATCCGCCTTTGATCTCACAGGTGTCTGATTCACTGCGAGAACCCTAGATCTGTCCGGCTTGATTGCGCTTTTTTCACTCCTCCCCTCACTGCAGCCGCCTACTCTCGACTACATTGCAGGCGAGGCGAGGCGCATCTCAAACAAGCCTGAGCAACTGCGCGCTATTGCAGAATCCGACCCTTCCGCCTTGCGCTCGCGAGAGTTTTTTGACATACGTCGGCATGACATAAGAGCCAGGCGGACCGTTCTCGGACACATTTCTAACCGGCATGCGTCTCGCGCTGATCACCGGTGATCGATACGCCTTATTCACGGGAGCGCCATCTTTGATTTTTAATGAGAATGAAAGCGAGGCTGTGAGGGATAGACATGCATGTCTTCAATGGGCTGTATGTTATTTAATGTGTTTTCGGATTGTTCTGCTCATGAAACACTGGAAAAATATCTTTCCAAGAAATGTCAGTTGACAAAAAACTCCCGACAATGTAAGCTGTGGAAAATTGTAAGTAATCTAGCCGCTTTATTCAGCTTTTTACAGCGGATGCCATTGGAAACACGGTAAGTCTATCCCTCACAGCCTCACTTTCATACCTGTCATGGCGCTGCTCTGAATAAGGTCTATTCTGCGCAAATTTTGCTCATCTCAAACAAGCCTAATGTGACAAAGTCACGTGATTTCAGTTCTTGTATCGTTTAATGGCGTTTGACAAAACAGATGGTGTTTTACCGCCACCACCTGGACTTCAAGGGTTAGTTCACCCAAAAATGAAAATTCTGTCAGTATTTACTCACCCTCATGTTGTTCCAAACCTCTACGTGTTTATTTGTTCTGCTGAACACAAAGGAAGATATTTGGAAGAATGTTTTAATCAAACAGATCTCATTCCCCATTGACTACCATATAGGAAAAAATATGTACTATAGCAGTCAATGGGGAATGAGATCTGTTTGATTAAAACATTCTTCCAAATATCTTCAGCAGAACAAATAAACACATAGAGGGTTGGAACAACATGAGGGTGAGTAAATATTTTCATTTTTGGGTGAACTAACCCTTTCAGTGTGAAGAAGCATCAATGCGAAGGATGATGCTTTTTTCCTTCCTTTGGTAAGTACAACCATGTAGAAGTAGTTTACATGCTCTATAGTCTCTTCTTCACTACAGAAGAGATATACATAGGCTAAACCAGTTTTATGTTTCCCTATGAGAACAATATATGATTTAAACCAGAATGCCATTTTCAGATTCATGGAATAACTGATGTCCTTTCCTATTGAGTAATCTGCCACTCTCTCTTTTCCGACTTTATTTTGGATATTGTAGAGGTGTATTCATTGTCATATATTAATTGTGTTGTTGAATGTGCATTAACAACTATTTAAAGCTGACACAGTCTGAACAAATATCAGGCCTTGTTGGCTTATCTTCCTCTACCCAATGAATCTTACTATTATGACTTTGAATCACTGAATATATACAGCTCCAGCCGTATGTCCTGATGTAGGATCCTTTGACACATCTGTAAATAATAGTCTTGAACAATATGCTTGATCTAAATCCTGCTGAACAACAACCTTCTTACATGTAGGTGTGCAGACGTTTCAATCTTAACCTTGAATTGTTGATGTAAATCGACTTGAGGCATGAAAAACAACCAGATATAGTCTATTTTTACAATAGTGGGAGTGACTGAAATCTTTAGTTGCTGTTCAACCAAAACTGTTGATGTTATCGTTCCCATATACTCCCAGCACTTATACTTCCTTGCTTATACAATACTTCGACTATGTGGCCCTGAATGCACTTTCATATTAATCCAATAATTCATTGTTCATTTCAATTCATTTATACTTAAAGGTATTATTCAGTACCTCTACCTGGAACACTGATATTAGAGAGGATCTAAAATCCTAACAAAATATTCTGAATAATTGTGTCTAAAACTGATTGTGCCTGAAATTTTAATTAAGGATTTAATTTCTACAATTTACATACAATCATATAAGCAAGAATGAAGTGTGCTCCACAAATAATGAATTGTTCCTGTGTTTCACACTACAACATTCAAAAGATGAAATATAACATTCAAAGACAAATCAGATGCATTTTGATCATCATATTAAACCTTCAGAACTTAATCTGTCTGATTATTTACCAGCCTAAAAACTGTGATAAACTGATGTAATTTTTAATTGCTTCTCCATGTTAGCATCTGTTAATTCTTCAACAAACTAAAGTCTCAGAATTTGTAGATTCAGCTTTTAGTGAGAAACAGTTTGCCTGTTATTAATTATCTGTTTCACCAGCAAGTTTCTGATTGACTTTGTTTCCTTGCAGAAACCAAAGATGGAGGCTGTGTATGAAAATGTCCCCAAAAGATGATCAAAACCAGTATGTACTGTTAGAGCTTAAGACATTTTGGATTTGTTTATTCTGTGCAAGATGTATATATTTGTTTATTGCTCTTTGTTTGGGAGACACACTCCCATGCACATTTTGCAATGTTTGAAATCGTGTTTCTTTGTATTAGTTTAATTTTTTGCTTAAATATAGCGTCCAAAACTCAACAATGTTGTATTATTAGCTGAAAGGTGCAATATGTAAAACAATTTTTTAATAAAATATTGAAAAGCCACTTGCACAGTGTGAAATATTTGTTGTGTACTAATATTATCCCAAAAGTTCCCAAGGATTTGTAAATACAGAAAAATTCCAGATTTAAATAATTTTAATTTGAGATTTAGGCATGTCTGCTCTGGGCATGAAGCAGCGATCCCTGTATATAAGATTTATAAATGTATAAGTCAGTAGATGCTATTCAGTTTCCATTTTAAGATGATTTATTGGCATAACAAATATTTTTAGATTTATTACCGAAGCATTTTCAGCATTGCTGCGTACAATTAAAACTAGAACCATAAAGACATTTAAAAAATGTGTAACTCACAGAAATACAAAACAGATACCAGTACAGAATAAAGTGGAGGAGAAAATGAGGAAATTGAGCATTTTGTCCACCAGATGGCATCACCCTACAGCCTATTGAAAATGAGTAACCTTTGGCAATGATCAGCATCAGTGGTTTGCAAAATGACAGTAAAATGTCAAAATGACAGTTGTTTTTTGAAAGCTGTTAAAAACAGACTTCTTTTTTCCTGATTAATTATCCTCATTTATTTTTCGGCTGGAAAAAGTTTAATAATAATTAACTATAATATAGTACCATGATACTCTATAATATGTAATAATGGGATCAGTCACATGGCATTTCGTCTTGGGCGCAGGTTGATAGAGGTCATGTGTGTTTTTGACAGATGAAAGAGGAAATGTTCATCATAAAAAAGGATGTCTGTGATATCAAGAATATAGTTGAAACTCCTTAGAATGAACTTCTGAACTCTTGCAAGTGTTGAAAATAATAGTTGGATCGTTGTAAGAGTCTGTATTTTAATATTCAAGTACACAGTATATTTTATTTTCATTATTTGACAATAATATCCCTTTTATTTCAGATGATTTTATTTTCTAGAATCACCATTAATGGATTATGCGTTTTATTTTACATAAAAAAGAGGAAGTTAAGTTGTGGAAGTATTCTCAACCATATGCTATTCACACACACTCACACACTCATACTAATGCAAATTAACCACAAACGTCCAGTATCACACGTTCTCGTGCAGAAGTTGTCTGTCCATCCAACAGATGAAACCACATTTCTTTCCCAGATCTAAAGAAAGCAGACCACTGCAGGTTTCAGTAACTCACAGTGTGGCTTACATTCAGTGAATCACATTCATGACACATTCATGAGGGATAGAAAAAGGAAAATTAGCCCAATTTTACTCATGCTCATGTCATGGTGTACAATATATGACATTCTTCTTTCAGACGAATATAAATCAGAGCTATATTAAGATATGTCCTGGCTATTCCAAGCTTCATAATGGTAGTGAATTGCTGTTTCTGTTTAAGTCTATAAAAGTGCATCTATCCAACGTAAAAGTACATCTGTCCATGATAAAAGTGTATATATCCATCATAAAAGCACATCTATCCATGATAAAAGTGCATCTATCCATCATAAAAGTGCATCTATCCATGATAAAAGTGCATCTATCCATCATAAAAGTGCATCTGTCCATCATTAAAGTGCATCTATCCATCATAAAAGTGCATCTATCATCATAAAAGTGCATCTATCCATCATAAAAGTGCATCTGTCCATCATAAAAGTGCATCTATCATCATAAAAGTGCATCTGTCCATCATAAAAGTGCATCTGTCCATCATAAAAGTGCATCTATCCATCATAAAAGTACATCTATCCATCATAAAAGTTCATCTATCAATTATAAACTTGCATCTATCGTTTTAAAAGTGCATCTGTCCATCATAAAAGTACATATCCATCATAAAAGTGCATCTATCATTATAAAAGTGCATCTGTCCATCATAAAAGTGCATCTATCATTATAAAAGTGCATCTGTCCATCATAAAAGTGCATCTGTCCATCATAAAAGTGCATCTATCCATCATAAAATTACATCTATCCATCATAAAAGTTCATCTATCAATTATAAACGTGCATCTATCATTTTAAAAGTGCATCTGTCCATCATAAAAGTACATATCCATCATAAAAGTGCATCTATCATTATAAAAGTGCATCTGTCCATCATAAAAGTGCATCTATCATTATAAAAGTGCATCTATCCATGATAAATGTGTATCTATCCATCATAAAAGTACATCTATCCATGATAAAAGTGCACCTATCCATCATAAAAGTGCATCTGTCCATCATAAAAGCGCATCTATCCATCATAAAAGCGCATCTGTCCATCATAAAAGTGCATCTGTCCATCATAAAAGTGCATCTGTCCATCATAAAAGTGCATCTGTCCATCATAAAAGCGCATCTGTCCATCATAAAAGCGCATCTATCCATCATAAAAGTGCATCTATCCATCATAAAAGTGCAAGATTGTGTGTGTGTATATATATATATATATATATATATATATATACATTAGCAGAATATATATACATTATACATTAGCAGAAATAGCATACGCAGAAATAATATATATTATAGGCTACAATAATATAATATATATATATATATATATATATATATATATATATATATAAACAGAAAATAACATTATGCCTATATATACATACAGAAAATTATTATTATATAAAAAAAAAACACTTTTACTCTCAGCTTTTCCACATATATTTATTTTAATCTTATTTAATTATTTATTTTATCCTTATTCATTCATGAACTTAAATTTTTCAAGGTTTTACTCAAAAACCACTCCAATAACCCCCTTTCACTCCTTTGCGGCCCCCTGAGGGTCCCGGGACCCCAGTTTGAAAACCCCAGGGCTAGTTCGGTCTAATAAATGGTGACTTTCTCTAACATTTAAATTTAGAAGATGTGTAGCCCCGATGACATGAAGATGATGTATAACGGACACAACATGGCAGATTTGCAGTTGTTTGTTGTCAAACACAAGTTTCCTACCAACAGAATCAAAATGAATAAACTCTATATGGTAGACTCATAATGCACTGTGTTGCGTGTGTAACGTTATCAGCACAACATATCAATCCTGGGGTTGAGTTGCATTCTCACAGCAAGCAATTTTATGGGATCAATGCTCTGTGTGAAAGGGACTATTTCACATTTGGTATGATATTTGATATGATTTCTCAGTAATCGTAACATTCTTCATCAAACATCAACATTCATCTATTGTGTACTTTTTCGCAGTAAAACAGTTTTGCTTCAAGAGGAAGTTAAATTGTGGAAGTCCTAAATGCTATTAACACACACTCACACTATTGCCTCAAGACGTGCAAACACCGATGCTCACTAACCACAAACGTCCAGGACAGACACATCTCGCACACATGCTCTCAACAGATCAAACCCACTTTTATTTCCAGATGTAAAACTAAGGCCTTCTGTATTATGATTCCCTTGGCAATATGTAATCATACCCCAATATCATGTTTGTAATTCTAATATGTATCAAAATTAAATTTCTACTGTCATTCAAGTTTTAATTTGACCCTAATTAATGAAGAGAATAGAGGCGACCTTTTTAGACCATGCTCGGGTGCACAGACCATTTTTCCCGTCGAAGTGGAACTTGTGCAACATTAATTTTTACTATTGACAATTTGCCCGGAAGTGATGATTTATTACCTTTAACACATGGGATGGAAACAGTGCTTTATTCACTAATGTTTTATGCAATATTTTAATTTTAAGTTAATTTGCCAGCTTATGAAATGCTTTTTTTTCCAGAATTCAATTCGAGGAGATCAGTTTACTTTTAATGCCGCATGATGCTACATCTTTTCTGCATTTGATTGTTTGACCTTCTGACCTTAAACATAGTTTAATACAAAAATACTCAAAAAAACATATATATAGATTACAGAAAACACAAATAAAAATGAATGAACAGGTAAAATTGCTGTTCAGAGTTAACTTTTTTTTTATTAACACACTTATTTACAAAAAAGCAATTTACAAAATATCTCGTTGGGAGACTCATGTGCATTGTTCAGAGTTTACACGCACTTCAGAAATTGGTATATTGTAGGGCTTTTGAAGCTGTTAAACGCATGTTCGTGACATTTACAGAATGGTCGCCATTAGTGAGCAGTTTTAACCAAACCTTCAAACCGTTCTGTTACTTTGGTTATCTCTCACACACATGTGGATTTTACAAAAAACAATGCATCTTTTGCATTTGCATGAACACCACGGCTAGCACAGTGCATGTTAGCACCTCTTTTACATTTTAAACGGTTTTGTTGGAATAATCGGCTTTCTGGTGTACATGTTAACCTACTGACTGTGATCAGATCACTGAGGAAGAAACTTCACATAATTGGATTATCGTCTGGTGACGACACCTGCGTACACCACATCTTCCTCCTGTTTAGCACTCTGAAAGAAAACACAACAGATAAAAGAGGGAAGTTAGATTAATGAACAAGCTAGAGGTGAAATCCAGAAAATAATAGCAAGAAGGGGTTTTAAAATATTGAGTCAGACTCAGTAATAACCTTGTTTATGGATGTGTATTAATGTGGTGATGACTGAATCCGAAAACACCCCTTATACCCTCAAATAAGGCACTATTTGAAGGTACGGCCATTTGTAGTGGTGTCCGAAACCATAGTGGACGTTTTTGAGTGCACTCATTCAATCCCACAATGCACTGCAATAGCGAGTGTACAACGCTCAAGGGTTGTAATTCGATCTCTCGTTTTTAATCACTCCGTCAAGTGAACAGTATTAGCGGATTAGCATAGGGAATAGTGATTGACGGTTTAAAGGAGAACTCCGGCGCAAAATGAACATTTGGTCTATAATAAAACATCGGTACCTAGTCGACCGTTTTCATAATAATCGAACGTAAAGCGTTTTATCTCTAAAAACTGTTTAACGTATAACGCCCATATACTAGCGTTATGCGTTAAACAGTTTTTAGAGATAAATGTACGAAGTTCAGCAAACTTCTCAACTGTATGAACAGCGTTTGTTCGTGGTTCGACCTACCGTATCTCACGACGAATTCGTACGAATTCGTACGATTTGTCTAAACCCACGTGATGGGTTGGTTTAGGGGCGGGGTAAGGGGTAGGTCATTCGTACGAATTCATACGAATTCGCCAATTCAATTTAACAAAATCGTACTAATTTGTACGAGTGAGGTCGTATGAATTGTTACGAATTGGCCACTTTTTAATCATTCGTCGAATTCGTATGAATTGGTCGTGAGATCGGGTTGGGTTCGACTGTTCGAGACTGTTTTCCAAAGATGGCTCCTGTCTGTATACACGAAGGGAACTGTCTTTATAAAATATCTTTTTATTAAACGGTCTGAACACTTGCAAAGTTCCCAATGCTTCGTTTTGCATGTATGGACCCTCATTATGTTACTGTGTTAGTGTGAGGCTATTTTGAGCCTTGTTAGTGGCATTAACTAGCGATTTATTTTGACTTATTATATGCCCCCATTACTTGCGTTATACGCTAAACAATTTTTAGAGATAAAACTCTTTACATTCGATTATCATGAAAACAAATCTCAGAGAACGGTTGACTAGGTACCGATTATTATTAGACCAAAGGTTCGTTTTGCATGTACGGACCCTCATTATGTTACTGCGTTAGTGTGAGGCTATTTTGAGCCTTGTTAGTGGCATTAACTAGCGATTTATTTTGACTTATTATATGCCCCCATTACTTGCGTTATGCGCTAAACAATTTTTAGAGATAAAACTCTTTACATTCGATTATCATGAAAACAAAACTCAGAGAACGGTTGACTAGGTACCGATTATTATTAGACCAAAGGTTCGTTTTGCGCCGGAGTTCTCCTTTAAGTGACGATTCCGGATTCAGACACTGTTTCTATGGTACCCGCAGTGATGCGCTGACTACCAGCTGCCGATTGGCTCTTTTATTTAAAAGGCGGGACTTATTCCGCCATATTGTGTGTTGTACTTTCTCCTATTTAAAAGTAATATGAAAGCACCGTCTTTGTATATTTATAGTCTTATCTGTGTTGGCGTATTATGTTGCTCGCTGTGCTATTACACATGATGTGACAATATTAATGCTTCTCGTTTAACTGCTGCACAATCTTTTCCCAGAACTGGCTTCTCTTTTCTTTTCTTTTTTGTGGGCCTATGAAGTCAGTTCTCCTCCACTTTTCAGAGTAATGCAGGGTTTCTTGAAGGGGAAGTACACAATGAAGAGACAAAGATCTACTTCAAATTCTACTTCTTGTAGATTTCAAACCCTGGTGCACTTGATCGGACTGGTCATATCAGATTAATGTTAATTATGCATCTTCTCGACACCAGATACATTACTAAAATGTTCAGCTCACGTAAATATGCATAATGTTCACATTTTAAATTGTTATTTTAAAAAAATCCAAGTTACCAACACCTCCCCCAATGTCATTTGCATAAAAATTGTCAAGTAACAAATCAGCTTTTTTTATCGCTAATGTAATAGTGAATTGAATTAATTTAATTCACACATAGCCGTTCACTGTGGCGCCTGGGGAGTGATTGGGGGTTAGGTACGAGTCGAACCCACAACCTTTGGGTTTCAAGGCTGAGTTTCTAACCATTAGGCCACAACTACCCCAAAAAAACACACGTTTTCCAAGGTTTACAGGTTTGCCATGAGGCACAACAAGTAGCTATCGCTGCGAAATGACAAAAAATGCAAATTTCGGAAATGGTGCAAAGGCGGCTTTAAGTCCAGACAGACTCAGATGTTTCTTTCTTCAAATAGGTGATATCTTTATAAATAAACCACCGATTTGAGCTTTAGGCCTTGTCCACACTAATACGTTTTCATTTAAAAAACATCTTTCTCTTCGTTTTGGCCTTCTGTCCACAATTAAACAGCGTTTTTGTCCGCATTTTTTGTCTTTTTGAAAACAGTTTTCGCGTTGTGCAATGGACTGTAAAAACGAAGGTAAGATGCATGTTGAGTCTGTATCCTCTAAGTGAGCTTTAATGAGGGTTTACGCATACACTGTAAGATGAGTTTGGTGTTTCCCAACGTTTACACAACTTTTGAAAAACGTTTGAAAAGGCTATTTTGACTGGAGAGCGTTTTGAAAATTAAAACCTTTTTCAAATCTATCTGGATTAATGTAGACGTAGTCTTTAACAGCTACATTCTCACAACTATTCTCACTTGAAAAAAGTCGAAAACGTCGATTTCCTAAAACGAAAAAAGTCGATTTCCTAAAACGAAAAAAGTCGATTTCCTAAAACGAAAAAAGTCGATTTCCTAAAACTAAATTTCGTGACACAGTAGCATTAGCATTTCCTCCACTATTGCAGCTCACCGGATGCATTCTGGGATACCTCGCTGTCTCAAGTCCACACAAGTCACCTCTTAAAGGGTTAGTTTACCCAAAAATGAAAATTAAGTCATTAATTACTCACCCCCATGCTGTACCAACCCCGTAAGACCTTCGTTCGTCTTCAGAACACAAATAAAGATATTTTTGATTGAATCTGAGAGCTAGATCAGTCCTAGATAGACTGCTTAAGGGACTGGCTCTTGACGGCCCATAAAGTCATTAAAGAAAAGGTTTAAATATTCCATGTGCCTACAGCGGCTCAATTATAAGTTTATCAAGCGACGAGAATACTTTTTGTGCGAAAAAAAACATAAATAACGGCTTTATTCGACTATTCCATTACTTCCTTATGGGCGCATGCGCGAGAACTGAGACGAGGACGTTCTCGAAGATGAACGAAGGTCTTACGGGGTTGGAACAGCATGGGGGTGAGTAAATAATGACTTAATTTTCATTTTTGGGTGAACTAACCTTTAATAAATCTACGATAAAAGAGGTGGATCAAGATCACATCCGGGGATCTGAACCGGACTTGGCTAGGTGGGAACAGTACTTGAGCAACGAATGATGACGTTTCACAAGAACACAAGAAAAGCACATTGAGAAATGTTTTCAGTCTCGAGCTGTTGTGGTGTGGCGTGATGCAACAACAGTTGGTGTAGACAAGCCATGGTGTGAGAGTCACCTGTTTTTTTAGTAACCCCAAATAATCAAAGTGAATCGTTTTATTGGAAACTCACTAAACATCTAAATGGGACACAATCTTACCGATTGCGGTTCGTTTCTTTTGTGGAATGTTGTGTCCGCGTAAGTCACCTCTTCCTCGCGGGGCTCAACTATTTAAAAAAAAATATCAAGAAATCAATTTTCATCACACAAAATCCATTTATTTGAGGTGTATTATTAAAGTATAAACTTAGTAAGTATAATACTTAATGTGTTAGTAGGTGACACTTGCCCTGTGGCTCTGTTTTTCTGTGTTTCCTGCAGATGAAGAAGATCACGACTGCAAGAATAAGCAACAGAAATCCAGCAGCGGCAGCAGCCGAGATCAGTGCTGTCAGATTGGCTGAAGGATCTGAAGGACCTGAAGGAGTTGAAGAAGAAGCTGAAGAAGAATCTGAAGGATGTGAAGTAGAGGTTGGGTCTGTTGGTGGAGCGGCTGAAGAGGGACATTAGTGTGAGTGAATGAGTAGAAGAAAGTATTGCGATATCAGTCAGTGAGAGTTTTATTGTGATGATAAACTCATAATTGTTTTATTTCATAATTCATTTCATAATGTTGGTGCTTCAGTGACTACTTAGCTCAGAGAACCTGTCAATCACAGCTGTCAATCATGATGTCACCACCACAGCATCACATTATAACTAAAACAAACTTATTTTAAAAACAAACACTTTTTGTGAAATTACATCATTGTGATAAAAACTACACTAAATGATTGAAACCATCTTTGGAAAACGATCTTATAGTGTAGTTTAATTGTTTAGTTGGTCTCAAGGGGAGGTGGGGTTTATGACCTATACTAAGACCAGCCACCCGGGGGCCGTGTGGCTTGTGCGGGCTTGTTCAGGGCTTGTGCGGCAGGCTTGTAGCCTGGCATGCCAGACCTACATCAAGATGTTACATCACACTTTGCTGCAAAATAATTTTTGCTGCCGCTAGGGTGCGTCTAGATTTCTAGGCTAGCAGGCTTGGCTATTTCATAAGTAAAGCTGTCAGCCATCACAACAGTGGGCGTTTACACTAAAGTCTCACACAGACACGCCCCTATTTCTAAATGATGAAATTTTTTGATGTAAAAAACATACTAACATTATTAGTGCGCCACCAGGCAATATTATAAAACAATGCAGTTCATGCTCTTAAACCCTTAAAAGTTGTTTTACTAGTAAATAGTATATAGTAATTGTGACTCACCATATACAGTAACATTGAATCTGATTGCGGTCCTTCCCCCGGTGCGACTGATGGTCACATGATAAAGTCCAGAGTCTGTGGTATTGGTGTGTGTGATGGTCAGAGATCCAGTTTGATGATCCAGCTTCAGTCTGCCTCTGAATCTCCCATCAGGAACATCATCATATATGGAGAAGATATTTTTATCTTTATCGATTTCAGCTATTTTAGTGTTTAAAGGTTCAAACCTCCATGTTATCAGATCATGTTCCTGTAATTCATTGAGATTAGATTCTAGAGTGACTGAATGTCCCTCCATCTCTGAAATGATCTTCTCTGCACCATCAGCAAACACTGGAGAACACAGACAGTTTCTCAGTCACACAATGAAGTTCTCGTTACAGTAAAATAAATATATTAACATTGGTTTAATCAAGCTTTAAGCTTGCAGGTTTAAAATTACAACAATCTTTAGTTTTGGCTTTGACATTAAAGTGAGACTCTGAACAGTATGGTGTAGTGAGATGCTTTAAAATAAAAGTGAGTGTTGGAGCTATTTTTTATTTTGTAAATTTTCGGCTTAAGTTATATCCTAATTTATTTCCTTTCTTTTCTTGCTAAAGTTAATTTGTTTTATTTTGTATTTATGCTTTTATTGTTTACTTGTATTGTTGTTTATTGGTCACATGGTGCTATGTTAATTTGCATAAGTAGGTCAAGGTGGGAGGGACCTCGGGTTGCGAGGGCATATGTTTTTTTACCAGCGTGAGAGAGGCAGCAGAAAATGTCTGTGAGCTTGCTTGTATGTGTAAATAAACCTCCTCAAACTCAATTTTGTCATGGACTTTAGTTCACTTGGACACTTCTAAACCTGCGTAAAGCCTAACCCATGATGTAGCCTCAATGCCCATTTAAGAAGTTTGATATTATTAGTTTTAAGTTTATGGACAAATAGCCACTACAGTCTGGTAGGACCATTAGCACTCGCTCTTGCTGAACTTCAACATCAGATGTGAAATCAAGCATTACAAGGCAAAATACGACAGCGGTGACAGATCTGTTTTGGGTTTACATTTATAGACATCAGCATCTCAGACTTTAACATACATTTAAAGTTTTGTGAGGCCTACCCTGATCATCAGTCATGATCTTATACAGTCTATATGAACACCGTTTGTGTTTGATGGCCAAAAATCGATTTACTGAATTAAAACACAGATCTCTTTATTTTTTCACTGTCGGGACAATGTTTCAAAACTCTAAAATTACAACACATAGTTAATCTGTTATTGTGCTTTCGTTAGCACATGTTTTATTTCTCAAATTTATTTTATCCAACACATTGAGCTATATCAATATCAGTGTTCATCAAAACACAATAGAGTGATCTTTTAGAGTATCTTTTATGATGATCAGTTCACAGAATCTCTAGAGGAACTGAATGAACGGTATTACAGTTCAGTCCCATTACAAACACACATACTGTACATTCCCTGATCTAATAAATCATAGCAAGTTATCCTGCACTATACATTGAGCTTTGTAAAGTAGAAAAGTGCATTTTTGTTTAAGATTTATGCCCTTTCTGCTTTGAAATTCTGATGGGACAGAATCCTGTTATTTCTATTGCAGAACTTTGTACCTTTAGATGGAAACAGCCGAGGGACTTTTATAACACTAAGACTTCAGATTTCATTCATTACAGTATGATGCCAGTAGAAAACTACGCAAACACAGAGATATCTAGTTTGATTCATGATTCTGGTACACTTGAAACTATAAATAAAAGTTTTGAACTTACCAACCAGACGCCAAAAGCACAAACAGCAGAAAACAAACGAGTGAAACATGTTCTTCCTCAGTTCAGAAAAAGGAAATGTTTAAAGTCCTGTAGAGAGTGTACTAATGTGAAAACGGCTTCAGTCTGTGTTAATATGTGTGTGTGTGTGTTAGGGGTTGTCCTTAAGTTCTGATGAGTTTTTTTCTCCTAAACCAGTCTGTAATGTTTTAGTTGAACTGTGTAATCGCATTAATGATACTCTTGGTTTATGACCACCCACACTATTGTTTGGACTAAATTCATTTTGTAATAAAGCAGAAATAGAAATTAATCTGATCTGCAGTCAATAGCACATGGTAAAAGTCTCATGACTTACGTTAACTTGATCATAAGTCTTGGTGAAGTTACAGTTCAGTTTTCTATTCAAAATAAATAAAGCTGAATTTTTATGAAGTTCTCGGTTTCTCTAAAAACCTTGAATTGATCAGTCCACTGTAATATGTCTGTAAAATGGAGGAAGTTCAGCACTGCTTCTCTTATGATGAAATAGCAGCAAAGACTCAATGTTATGAAGAATCTTTAGTTTAAGTGTCAGTGAAAGACATCTACAAAAAATCTGCTTATTTCTAAACTAAAACAGCATGAAAGGAGACCACAAAAGAAGCAGTTTGTATTCTGACTGACACGAGAGTAAATTAACTTTTACATTAAACAAAAAAATAATTCACCTACTTAAGTTGCCTATTTCAACCCACAGTATATTTCTGAAACAAAGATTTTCATAGACAAATGGTTCGATATTCCTCCTGACCACTGTGTTGCAAATACAGTAAATATTTGGTGTGACTGCAGCCAGAGGAACAACGTCAAATTCATTCGGCGCAGCCCGTTATCAGCTGTCAATCAAAGTTAACCGCCCTTATTTGTCATACATTTTATATCTAAATACGATCTAAACTAACGAGTTAGAAAAAATCACCCCCTCACAGTTGTCAGGCACTCGGAACCTATCGAAAAATACAATAAAAGTCCATGCGACCAACCTGTAAAAGCATGAATTTATGCTGTGAAAACTGACATTTTAACATCTATGGATCTATGGATATTTGCTCCATTTTGGGACCTCCCTCTAGCGGATTTGAGATGTATTGCAGTTTTTCGCACTTTCAGCTAGGCTTCATTTTTTCAGATTAGAATGTGGCCGCTTGCCTGGCACGCACACAGAAGTAGGTTTACACACACGCTTTACAGAAGTGTAAATCAACAATGGCAACAAAGTTGTTATAATGCAACAAAAGGGAGACATTTATATGAAATTCAAAGCAACGTAGATAGATCAAGAAGTAGAAAAGAGCAGGTGATAATAAGAAGGTTGAGAATTGGGCATAGTAATCTTAATAGCACACTTTGGATTATAGGAAAACATCCTACAGGAATGTGTGAACAATGTCAGGAGGCTGAAACAGTAGAACATGTTTTAACAAAGTGCAAAAAATGTACTCAGGAAAGTCAAGAAATGATAGTTAAAAAATAGGAAGGGTAGATAAGTAAAAAGTTTATTGGAATATGGAGAAAGGAGGTTAGGAAATGGTTATTTGGTTTTAGAGGGGGACTGGATATGAGTGAAAGTAAAGGATAGATAAAGCCCGAAGATGGCAGTAATGCAATTCAATGGATGCCAGCTGCCGTAAAAAAAACAAAGAAGAAGAAGAAGAAGAAGGTTTTGAAGGGGAGCGCGTCTATAGACCTTTTTCACAAAAACCGGAATTACGTAATCGTTGTGGAAACGGAGTTCCCATCAACTGTTAACACATCAGAAAAACCTACTCTGGGAGGAGAAAATTGATCAGAGTCTTCAAAACTTCGAAAAAATTTAAACTTGTCATGGTCCAGTTGTTGATGACTTTGTAAAATGCTGTGGTGATGCTTGTCTGCAGTTGATGTATCTAAGACCAAAGATATGATATTGATTTTAGAACTGAAGCTCATTCTTCCCAATATACGTTCATTAAAGGTAAGAAGGTGGAGAGTGTGGAAAGTTATTAATATTTAGGGAGTATTAGTTACAATAAACTACATTTTGATGTGAATACCAGAAAGAAGTCTATCAGTTTTATCCTTTTAACTGTTATATACTTTAACAGTTATCCTGAATTTTTTGCACTGCTGTTGCTAATGATCAAAGATGAAGAAAAATTATACAAATATTAATTTATTCCTTGTACACTCAGATTGTTAAATACTCAGAATGATATATATTAATATTTTAAATTTATATGTAGCCCACTGTTGTGGGTTCTTATTTATCTTGTTTTATATTGTGGTGTATATTTTTATGTGCTTATTCCGCTGGATACAAATATCTTAATAAAGTTGAACATGAACTAACGTTACTTCAAAAATACGCAAATCATAAAACATAAAAAATAAACAAACAATGACGGCTTATTAGTGAATGGTGACAGGTACAGAAGATCACAGGATCAATAACATCCCGCCAGATTGCCTGAATCCATTTCCGTCGAACTTCATCGACAGGGAACTGACGACGAGGGAAGGAATGAAAACGAGTCAACGACAGGTATGGCTGCTTTTGGGAATAACAAAAAAGATCGGTACGCTACAACTCTCACTAGTTGCCTTCGGCGCTATCTGTTGTGAATGGAGCGGAAGAAGATTACCACGACAATTGCGTATTTCCGGTCACAAATACGGAAGTTGTGAGAAAGGTCTATTAGTGTGCCTCTCAAATGGCTTGGAAGGAACCGAAAGGAAGCCTTTTAGAAGGTAATGCATTGGCAATTAACAAACATTTGACTAAATATCTGAAGAATTAGGTTGATTAGAGAGAATTTAGCATTTATTTGACCTCATTTCCTCCCTGTTCTTCCTGTTTACGATGTACTGTTCCCCGCGCCAGGCCTTTAGATGGCGGTAATAAGGCACAAATGTGCTGGTGGCCAACCGCTTCTCATATTAAAAGAAGAATTGGCCTCGCTATGGTTAGAGAGTCTCTTGCGCTCTTTTTACTTCAAATAATAGAAGATAAAGACCCACAAACTCTTTTAGCAGCACATACGTAATCAAGAATATTCATTAGTACTTTTTCAGTCGATGTAAATTATTTTCGTTAAGCTCCTTCAGTCGGTTTTTGAGAGGGATTCTTTCTGTCGATCGTGTGGACTCTGACACGCCCAGAAACTCCTGATTATTACAAATAATATCCATCGATCATCTTTGAAAACGAAACATAGAGCAGTATGAAAAACATTTCATTGTTCTTTGTGTTCGTTGTGTTTATGGAAGGTAAGGTTTTAGTTTTGTTTTGGTTTCACTTTTGTAAAATACGGAATTGCTAATTGTTCTTCTTATTCCGGCTAATTTTTAAAAACATTAAATGTGATCATTATCATCAAAATGTATGACAGAGAATTAAGTTCATGTAGTGCAATAATAATTCGAGTATATCATAATTTTCCTACACGTGATTATCCAAGTGTACCACGTGAAACTCATGATTGCTAAGGCAGCAAATATTAAAACAAAATAGAGATTTTGTGATTACAAAGCAAATGTTAAATTAATAAAATACTGATTTATTGATTCATTTATTGATAAATTATGCTTCTGGATGCCATTTGTAGCTCCACTGCTAAACAATTGCAGTTACAAGAGTTATGCAATGTTCTAAATAACAATGGATATGATAATGCTGCTGCCTTCAAAACGTGATATGAACATGGAATTGAGATTTGTATTGGGCAAGACTAATTACTAAATGACTTGAATCTGTATGCTGACAGTGTTTGATAATTTGAACTGTTCCTCTGTTCTCCAGGTGTTTTTGGTGAGTCAGTGACTGAGGGAGGTTCTGTCACTTTAAAGACTGGTCTCTCTGAAATAAACCCGGATGAAGTGATAGAGTGGAGGTTTGTTGAAACTCTCATAGGTAGAGTAAGAAAAGGCATTGACCCCTCACTGTATGGTGACGTTCTTGATGGGAAATTCAAAGGCAGACTAAGACTGGACAGTAAGACTGGAGATCTCACCATCTCAAGCACCAAAACCTCAGACTCTGGAGAATATAAAGTTTCCAACAGCATCACTGACCTAAAGACCTTCACTGTCACTGTCAATGCTGCTGGTGAGTGTCTAATTCATTTTAATGTTATCGCAGTTTCTCTGTGCTTAAATGCTTAGAAATCAAACTCCCAAGGAGTCCCTGTGTCTAGATATTTGTAAAGCAGATTTGCAGCTCTAGGAAATAACTAGTAATTTCACAAATGAAACGGCAAGAACCAAATTGATTCAATTAAGTGTGAAATTTTGTATTGAAATTGTATTTTCTTGTTAAACATAGGCTACTCCAGTAATCTTTGAAAAGCTAGAAGCCAACAGCCCTGTGATCTCCTTCACTGTCCGTGTTCTTGTGTTACATTAATGTCCGTCTCTCTTCAGCAGCTCCAGAATCAGGTTTGTCTCCAGGCGGGATAGCAGGGATAGTTATTGCTGTTATTGCGGCGGTGGCTGCAGCTGTTGGTGGCATTTACTATGGCTACAAGAAAAAGGGAGGAACGTGTAAGTATTACAGCTGATGCGGCGTGAGATAGACACTGTTCGGGAGATTGTAAAGCTGTAACCGGTGATGTTTAGTCATATGTCTTAACCTTCTTGTGCTTTTATTTAGCAGCATTATAAAGAACTATCATTAATACTCAAATATTAAAGATGGAAGTGATAAGGATTATGAAGATTTAATGAACAGAAAGCAGGAGGAAGATATAGAGCAAATTATGGTGTTTTTTGTTTGTTCATTAAAGTTATTTTTGTATTATAATTCTTATTTATGTTCCATATTTGTGTTTCTACAGTATGAGCTTCAGTGGCAGATGTTGAATGTCACTGGTAAGTAACTCAATATTTCATTTAAAAGACGCACTATATTGTCATTATTAACATTTTTTATTTTATTTTAGCAATGTGTGAACTGTTTTGATGAAGGAACGCGTTATTAATGGCATTAACGCAAACCCATTTTAGCCGTGTTATTTTCTTAACTTTTTTTGGTCCAGAAAACTTTGTATTTTTTTTTTTTCCACATGCTTTTGCAACAGGACGTGTCATGCGCTGCGCTGTGCTATGAAACTTATTCATTTCAATGGCTTGAACACACAGAAGCGGATCTAGCTAGACCGGAAACAACACAACAGGCACATCGAACACACTTGTTTGGGCTTGCGAGCCAGACAAATAGTTGGTTAATGTTACGTTTTGAGTGGATGACGAGCACGAGACGCCGAAATGGATGCCAATAAGATTCTGAATGGAAAGTTTACTTGTAAAAAGTTGCCAAATGGTTCCAATGACAAGACCAGGTGATCTGTGTGTTTTGTCGTTGTGAACTGAGATATCATCATCGCAGCACGTCCAGTCTGAAATACCACTTGATGATGGACAAGCAAACACACACACACACACACAGCTGATGCGAATTCTCCGCCCCCTCGTCAATATCAGGACCTCGTCAGTATTTCTTTCACCCTTTTATTAAAGGGATAGTTCACTTTGAAATTAATTTTTGATATGTTTTATCTTACCTCTAGCGGATCCAAGATGTCGGTGTCTTTGTTTCCACAGTATTTTCAATTTTGACATTTTTCAGTCAAACCGTTGTTGTCTATCATTCATACACTGGAGGCAAAGCGGCTCCACCAAAGAGCATGCACAGAGAAGTCCAAATTAAACATGATTTAATGACTCGTAAATGTAAGTACACACTGATGGCTTAAGACACGAAACGAGCGGTTTGTGTGAGAAAACGAACAGTATTTATATCGTTTTTACCTTGTGTAATCACAGTGATCTGAATCAGTTGTTCAATGTCCAACTGAACCGAACTGAATCAGTTCAATGTTACGCCGGAAGTGATCGCTTGCGTGTGACGTCACTCAATATTTACACGGAGATTTCGTAAGTTTTACCTTTTACTAAACATATTTAGATATACCGAAATCGTCTTCCATTGCGGTTTCCCGTATATCTAAATATGTTTAGATCTTCACAGTGAAAGCTAAAACTTCCAAAATCTCGGTATAAACCAAGCCCGTCTAACGGAGAGCCTTGGCACTTCCTATTAGCCCTATTGTGTATCATCCTGGTTGCAGTTCCATTAGAATTCCACTAGAGGTGATCGCGGGCGAGAGCAGAATGAATGGGAGTCTATGGGGCTAAACGGCTAAAAGTGTCTCTTTCACCTGCTCGTCGTTAAATTAACATAGATTTTATTGTTGATTCCGCAAGTTCAATATAGATTATAGGCCAAAAGTCGAATGAACGAGTACTTATGTCCTTTTGATTTCTTACAGGTTAGGCCGTTGTTGGCCTGAACACGCTAGCATTCTGCTATTGTGTGACGTCATCACAGTTTTGAACGGATTTTTAGAGCAGATAAGTGAACTTAAAAATGCAATTTTCAGCTGAGTGTATTAACTTAGCCCCCCCTTTTGAATGCAACTATTAAATTACTTGACAAAAAATTACATCCTGAGAAAAGTGGCTTTATGGGGGTGAAACCCCATTGACTCCCATTCATTCTGCACTCGACCGCGAGCGCCCCCGCATGGACAGAGACGTGTTACTGCAGCCAGTCCAGAACCCGGAAGTAACCAGCCAGTGCCAATTCTCTTCAATTAGACATTCTCTGGTATAAACAAAGAGTGACGTCGGTGCGCAAGCGATCACTTCCAGCACATGTGCAGACCGAAGCGCCCGTGCCGTCAGATCATTTTGTCATGGCTATGATTACAAGAGGTAAAACGATATAAGTACTGTTGGTTTTCTCACACAAACCGCTCGTATCGTGTCTTAGGCCATCAATGTGTACTTACATGTACGAGTCATTAAATCATGTTTAATTTGGACTTTTCTGTGCATGCTCTTTGAGGTGGACCGATTGAGGACCCCCCTTCACCTCTTGTCCAGACAGACAAGAACGGTTTGACTGAAAAATGTCAAAATTGAAAATACTGTGGAAACAAAGACACCTACACATCTTGGATCCGCTTGAAGATAAAACATATCAAAAATTAATTTCAAAGTGAACTATCCCCATAATGGACAGCGTTACATTGTGAGATTATTTGCTCAAAGTGAGATTGTTATTGTGAAATTGAACACTGTATATGCCAATGACAAAAGAATATGTGATTAGATAGATAAAAATGTGCAATTAATCGCAAGTTAACTACGACATTAATGCGATTAATCGCGATTAAATATTTTAATTGTTTGACAGCAAAAAAAAAAAAAAAAAAAAAATATATATATATATATATATATATAACATATATTTCACTGCAATGAGCTGTTAATGAACATAAGAAAGTGTCCTGTGTGACAGAAATATGTCAGAAATCAGAAGATTTAAACTCTTATCATATCAGTCTCAATCCTCATGATGCTGTGAAATCACACATCGGTGAAGTTTTCATAAACAGCCTTCATTTGAAGAGATCCGATTTATTTTAAATCATCTGCTCTTTTAAAATAATTGTAAATAATCTAAATGAAATTATTTGATCATGAAGATCAAAATCTGTTTCCTAAAAAGACACTTAACTTGAAATATTTAGAAAGTATTTTTAACATAAATGATATCGTATTGATATGGTATGTGTGCAATCTATCCACTGATCTTCCCATTCCTCACTGTTAAGAACAAACACTTTTGTGTGACGCATTTAATTGGTCAAAACCCTTTACATCCCGACTGTACATTCAAAAACACTTCTCTTTTGTGTCAAATGTTGTTTATTTTTAATCGGTCTGTCTCTTCATATCTTGTTTTTGTCAGATTCCACTAAACACAGAAGAAATACGCCGGAGGAACGGCCTTTGATAAAGAAAAACTCTCTCGGCAACTTCAGGACTAAACCAATGTGACATTTTCATTATTCAATATTAGTCATATTTCTCCTCATATTAGCCTCTGAAATCCTCCACATCTGATCCAAATTTCACATTTCATCCCCATTTAATGCGTACTGGATAAAGCACTTACTGTTTCTGCAATTATTAGACCAAATATCTGATCAACTTTAGTTTTAACTCTTTCTAGAAACGTGTTTGTGTCGCACTGACACTGTGTATGAAATTTGATGTGACGCTCTTATTGCAGGAATAATCTCCACATGCATTCCTATTGCTTAAATCATAATATAAACTGTGCCTTCTTTTTCTGCTTAATTTCACTTTAGTTTCATCTGTTTTGTTATCTAAAGTAAATCTGCCCATCTTACTCTCTGATTGTGAATGTAAATTTAAATAATTTGTTACGGGTAATGATTTATCGGTGTGTAAGCTTATTGATTTTATTTTTTAATTTGATTGTTACTTTTTTAAATGATTTTATTCGAGAAGTTTTAGATTTGAATTTAATGTTGTGCTGCTTTAAGCTTAATGCAAACCTTTGCATAACTTCACTGAATAAAATAATAGTAAATTAACCAAAACTGTCTTCGTTTGTTGCTATTGTCTGGTTCAGTCTGTAAAACTGAGACGAGCAGAATCGGCCGAGAGCTTCAGTAATATGATGTAATGGATCTGGACTGACAAACAGAACGATGTCCAACGCCCCGCTAAAGTCAACTCTTGCTCAGACACATTTACTAAACATGACAGATTTACAAACAACAAAGAACTTGGTCCCATTAAAGCACTGCTCTAGTCATGCCAAAATCAAAGAATACTGCTCATTTTCCATAATGACCAACACATATTACCAAGAGTTGAGATGCAGTTAGTGAAACATTAGTAGGTGTTGAGCTCACACTGCTATAAGTCCCTCCAGGATTTCGCGGGCCTTTTTTGTGATTGTTGCGGCCTAAAATGCCTGATGTTGCGGCCGCTTTTTTAAAAAGTTGCGATAAAAGTTGCGATGTTCTTCTGCATGTTTTTATAGGTTAAAATGGCAAAGATAGATAGATTTTTAACTTAAAATGCCCATATTATGCTTTTTGGCTTTTCCCCTTTCCTTTATTGTGTTGTTATATTTTTTGTGCATGTTATAGGTTTACTAAGAGAGAAAAGTCCAAAGTCCACCCCAAAGGGACTTATTATGTCCCACAGAAAACACTGTTCATCATCTGCATCTGCTCTAGTCCAGAATTGACTTAAGAGACAAAGTCACACACTTTGTAACACACGAACAAACTAACTAACCATTAGTAACCATAAAAGGCAAAACAAACGATTTGAAGACACAGCAAAACCTAACAAACTAAGTTTCTTTTTTTTTTTTAAACAAGATCTGCACCTGCAAAAAAGTCAATGTGCAGAACCTCACAAACATTAAGCAGCATTTATGTTGAAAGACGCCAATACTAATAAAGTGCAAAATACAGTTTTAGGAATAGCCACTAAAGTGAAAAACCAAATGTTTGATAATGTTTGAGAGTTCGGGAACTGGGTGAACTAATGCACTGTGATAGTGAGTAGCCTATTACAAGTGATAAACACAAGAAAAGAAAGGAAAATAAAATGGTCAAACTAAATTCTTTAAATATAAAACAAAAGAGAAGCAGATAAGTGATGAGTCCGTGGAAACAACTGCTCATTCGCGTCTGTCAGCTGCCGCGCACTCCCATAGGCTACTGAAAAGATTATGAGGGCGCCTCCCGCGAGCGCATAATGAGCGCGCTTCCCGTGCGCCTAATCGCCTATTTGAAATAACGACCTCAAGCGCGCAAAAGACGCGATACGTGAACTAATCAAGAGACCCCCTTGATATCGCTTCTGCGCACGGCACCTTCTCAGCAAGCAGGGCGCCATTGCCAATAATTGAATTGAAATGATAAAAAATAGAAAACCTTCGCGGGACAGAGGATTTTTTTAACTGCTCGTGCCGCCCCCCATGTGACATGAAGAGATGCCCGGTTCGCCCGTGCCTAGAACCGCTACTGGACGTATGACGACGCTTTGCAGGAGACCGCGGCGCGATGATTCGTCAAAGTTGCAGAAAAGTTGCGGTGATTTTTCAAAATTGCAAGGCGCACTGAATTCACGTGGATTTGTTGAAGTTGCGTTAATAGTTGCGATCGCGACATCGCGAAATCCTGGAGGGACTGTAATATTAATACTATAATGCTGTTTTAGCTGCTGTTTAAAAAAAAAAAAGTCCACCAGATGGCGTCATTTATCAGGTAATCAATATCATACCACTGACGATCAGAGTAGAAAGATGTGAATATCAGAAAAAATCAATTGTTAGTTTGTCTCTAGTATTAACTTAATAGTATTAGTAAGTATAGAAGTATTATGTTTATAGTATTTGGCGTAAGCGTAACTGTATCATCAATCCTGTTCATTTCTTTTTTACCTTTTGTGAATCAGTCTCTACATTCAACATTAATCATCATGGAAAGGTGAATTTCAGGTTAAGAACACTAGATGACACTAGTGCAGTATAAGTCAGGCACTTAATGTTTTTCTCTTCAATTTATTCGAACATTTTTACACATATTTAAAGCTTTTCCAACTCAATTTTCATGTCAAGCCATTTCAAACAAGGACTGTTTGTCCGTAGTGCAGTTTGGAAATGCAAACACTCACTGTTATTATAGTTATCATTACCTGTGTAAAAGTATGGTAATGTTTTATCAGACAGAAAATTTATGAACCGTCTACAGAAGAGTTTATATGATTATACCATGGTACATTATTTGTTTTAGTTTTTTATGCTAATTTATTTTTAAAAGGTAGTGTAGCCTACTTTAATATCTTTATCTACTTCAATCTTCCCTGTTATAGCACATCACATTTGTTGTTTAATCTGTGAGAATAGGCCTATGATTATGCCCTAGTTATAGCTTATTTTCTGCTTCTGTGTTTGGGTTCCAGCTTTGATACTTTCGCTTTACAGAATTTTTTTTTTTTTACTTAATTTAATTTATTTTATTTTTTTACGTTAACTGATATGTGCCTTGCTTAATACTTATTTACCTGTATTTTCCAATGCCATTGATTGTAATGTATATTCTGTTTTTGTTCTGTTCTTGGTGTTCAATAAAATAAATAATAATAATTAAATAAAAAATTTCGCTTTACCGACCAAAAAAGCGATCCATTTCCCGATGACGTAGGCCTATACAGGATAACATGGATTCGATTTGCAGTTTTGTTTTTTTATTGGACAATCACAGGGATACATCACACACAAAAAAATGAATAAGAAACAAAAGGTAATGCAAGGCAGAAAAGTACAGGAGAAGGATAAAAAAAAATAATAATTCATAAAAAAATTAAAACAATACAAATTAAACATACAGCTACGTAAATAAAAACAAATAACATGAAACTGAATAATAATAAAATAAATAAAAACATGACATCATCAGGAAATCATGAGGTAACTTTGAAAATATTTATTTTTTTAATAACAGAGCCATTAGTGTCTTTCTTGTTAGCTGATAAACAAATTAAGTTATAGGATAACTTTAAACCAACACCAAAAAAAAAAGAAGATTTGCAGTTGTTCGTTGTTGTTAAACACAAAATTATCCTAGCAACCGAATCCTGCTGTTGTGTTGCCCACCGTTCAGAAAGGATCCGTAGCTACGTGTTTCACACACCAGATTCTGAAAACGTTAACTGAGAGGTTTTAATATAATGCAGTGTCATTGTCGACCAATTTCATTTTTATTTTTTTTTTAAAAAACCGAATGTTTATCATGTGAGCTAGTCAGCGTGCCGCCGCCATGTTTGCGTGACGTCACTCGCATCTCTGCAACAAAAGTTACGGACATCCGCACGAGTTGTAAATACGATTTAAAATTGGTGATTCATTTAATTAATAACATTATATTGCACGTTTCTTAGCAGAAGGTGGAAAGTATCACTTTGTGATTTGGGCAAATTAACAGTAGCCTACAAAGTGATCGCATTTAGCCTACTAAAAACACATGGACAATTCCCACAGACTTGGAATGAATGAGAGACCCGAGCAATATCATCGTTTATTTGACTCTTTAACCTACAACAACCACACACGAAACACGTATCGACCACATAGGAAGTCTCAACAACCTCAGACCACCTTGACAGGGGACTAAAGTAATTGAGAAGCTGGAGAAAGTGAAGAATGCAGATCTTCATCGGTCCCTCAGAAGTGTGCAGTCTGACTGACGCCATCAGGATCCCTCAAGGTGAGATTTAACAGTCTTTTTGAGACATTTGGGATTGAACTTTCATTTTACCGAGACAGTTCCGTTACTGCTTAGACATTTTTGTTGTTTGAATTGCCGTCGTGAAGCTCGAATTTGCAAAAATCGCTTGTAACGGTTCTTACGTAAATCTTTGGGCATATCATTGTAAGTAATGAACCGGTAGGTAGCATACAATACATTAGTTATAGGCTATTCATATTTTATGAAAGCGTTACATAAAGTCTGTTGCATATCTGCAAAACTGGCTACTGCAAATCACATAATTTTCTCTGTCGCAATTTTAAAATAAATAAATAAAATATTAACATTATTTTATAGGCCATTCCTTATTTCAGGTGACATAAATGTGTCCTGTATTTTCTGTCTGCTGTTTAGAATTACAACCAACACGATTCAAAAGAATGAATCGTTCTTTTGAGTCGGTTCTTTTCAATAAATAGGCTAAATGGGTTAGCCGAATGGTTTGAATCGATTCGCGAGTCAGTCTGAATGATTCATTAAAGGGATAGTTCACCCAAAAATGTAAATTCTGCCATCATTTGCTCCAAACTTGTGTGAATTTCTCTTATCTGCTGAACACAAAATATCATATTTTGAAGAATATGGGCAACCAAACCTTTCCTGGGGCTCGTTCTTCGTACGTTGCTTAAAACATCCGAGATCAAACGAGAGATCTAAGATGAGATCATCGTGCTAATCATGATCCGGCTAATTGGGTTCTTCGAACACACCTGTTGTTTATGATTAGTATCGCTGGATTGAGTTATCTGAGATAACTGCGCGTTCTCGCGTTGGTTTAAAAGGGGACATGTATCGATAGCAGAACCAGTGATCAGCAGCGCTGCTATTGGCTGTTCAGCATGGCCCAAAGAACACGCCCAGTTTTTCTCCCAAGCAGAGCAAGCGCTTTTAATGCAAGGTTATGCGCGAAATTCAGTCTTTAATTAAAACGCCAGGGAACACCTCAAAGTGTGCAAAAGCCAGGAGAGAGTGCTGGCAAAACTAGAAGACAAATTAAATGCGTTTGTGGTGACTATGTTAGATGTTTTAATAACTTATTATTATTTTATTTTTATTTTCATAATTTCATAATTACTTTGTTCATTGTAATGTCGAGTCACCGCACTATAATAATGGACATGGTCGAAGTGAAGTACAAAAATATTCTACTTAATGGTAATTTTAGGCCTTATAGGCCTACTAGTCTCTTTTAAAAAGGCACTGTTAAATAAATGATTGTCTGTTTATAAAAGCAACCAGGAAAAAGGCTGAGAAAAAAATAATAATGATGCTCCTGACCCTGGCAGAAGAGCTGACCCTTGGGTTGAGTGTGAATTGCCCTGTTGTGAAGGGCATCCCTGGGTTCAGCTCTTCCAGACCCACATCAGGGACCAGCAGCAGCAACACCTTCATCACTGGGAAATGAGATTTAAATTATCTTTGTACACTATGAAATAATTTGTTGCTGCATTAAATGAAGTAGACCTATAATCCAAATTGGCTGGTTTAGTCATTTCAACTGTTAAATCTTGAGTAATGATAAATTGCTTTGTCTTTTGAAAGTAAAAACTGATAAACTTATGTTAATGTAAAAATATTTTGCCATGAGTTATCAATCACATTGCACTGGAGAGTGAAGAAAACTTCTCAGATGACTGTCCTTTGGAGGAAGTACTTTAATTTTAATTGTGCCTATGCCTATTATTTCTGACAGGAGTCCACATGTACAGAAAGGCCTACAGAAGAGTCTGCACACAGCAGTGATATAGGGGTGGGCAGTGTAGAGACAACTTTTGCTTTTTATTTGTTGCATGAGGCATGTGTGACACAAACGACACAGGGTTAAATTCGTTCCCTATATAAGTCTTCAACAGAAAATAGAGTATTTTTTTGAAAAAACAAAAATCAGGGGGAGAAACAGAACTTGACTAAGAAAAAATTGCACTAGAAATAGAGTTGCTTCAAAATAAACTTCAGAGTAAAATCACACAGAGTACTATTGCTGACCTTGCATAATATCTTTTAAAAAGATGACTGAATAACTGGCTTTTCTTTACAAAGAACAATTATTGAAATAAAACTCTAAGCAAATAGAGTTTTGCAAATTTGTCTTGTCTTTTATTTTAGGCTTAATTAAACTTTTTTTTTTTCCTTTTTCTGATGTTGGCAGTGTTGTGTAATATGGCACATGCAATGTCACAGGCCCTGTCAGGTGCAACCCTCAGGCTTTTTAGACCCTGAAATCTTCCCTTTAGTTGGCCAAAGCTCATGTCATTGTGGCAAAAAAAAAAAAAAAAAAAAAAAAAAAAACTAAGAGCACTACTTTGTGAATGGCACAACAGAAAGCTTATCAAGTTCTCCGCATCTCCAATGGGCTATATGCACGCATAAGTTCCGCATTTGACGTAAGGATGCTCGTCCATTTCCGGTTGTGTAGATTAAAGCGGAGGAAAACCGGAGAAAACGGGATTATGGCAGAGTCTTCAATATTTACTGTCCTCCCGTCTTTGAAACGAAACGTACATACGTTTAGATGTAATTTTATATATAGTTATGTTTATTTAATATAATTTTAAAAAGAAGCATAAACACAACGAGGGGTGTCTGTTTTATCTGTTTTTGTGACTAACGTTTCATTAGTATAACCATGGAGTATAAAATTCAATATAAATTCTCGGTATTGCATTGGACTCTATGATCGGCGGAAGTTATCGAGCATCCCTAATGCTTCACCGGAAATAACGCCGTGCATAGAGCCCATAGTGTAAAGGAAGCCACTCGCAAATAATTTTAGGGCAATGCAAACATTTTGTACTGTTGTTGAACCCCGACATCGAATCAAACATTAATGTGCATTTCCAACAAAATAATAATGCATTTAAACGACACCCTCACGACGATCGTTTCACGAGAAAACAAAAATAATTCTCAGAAATTAAGCTACACTATCGCGCTGCGCTGAAGGACTTCCCGTATCAGCCGCGATCTAATCCTGTTTACATGAAATAAGCCTGCTCGCGAGCAGGTTCAAGCTGACGGACTTGTTGCTATGACAGCAAGTCCAGGATGAGCGTCGAAGAACCAAACGATCCAAGATCATGCCAAATCGCCAACAATCAAATCCAGCTAACTGAGTTAGCGACGTACGAAGAACGAGCCCCTGGTCCCCATTGACATCCATTCATAGTATTTATTTTCCCATACCATGGAAGCCTATGCGGGTCATCAACTGTCTGTTTATTCTTGTAGAGGTTAATTTATATTTTGCACACTAGAGAGCGCTAGTTTTACAGTGTAAGCACATGTGTCACGACTCATAACAGAGGCTCAGAGTTTAGCTGGTTAGCATAGCCTTGTTAGGCCCTGCTGTTAGATACTAATATACAATCTTTCATGCAGCCAAAAAGCCTTTTTGGAGGCTTTTAATATTGTGAAATAGATGTGTTTTTTGTTTGCTAAAGACGTTTTAATATAGAGTGATCAGTCACATGACATGATTCAGGCGGTTTGGCATTTGTCATGCTACACTGCTAGTGGTTGTAAAAGAAAGTTTTTAAAACATGATGATACACAAACAGATAGGACTAATGAGATTACAAATGATGATGATACACAACTTTAAACAAAAATAATGCACTGCACTTGCATTTTTTTATTTATTATTTTCTACTTATTTGTATACAGTATGTAATGATTGTGTAAAGTTTGGGCGGGACTAGTTTAACATGGAGGGTGGAGTAAAGTTATCACCAGGGCTTCATCTCAGTGATTGTAGTCCCGTCCTCCAAATGTGCCGTCTCAGTGATCATTGGGTGCGTTCTAGACCCTGGGAATAGTCTGTGCCAAAATTCAAGTGTTTTACACACTCCATTCATATCAAAAAGAGGACTGAAAGCACTTTTTACAAGCACAAAACTTATTTTATCTTTAAGTAAGTGCCTATTACCAACATAATCCAAGCAGAATTTAATTAATATATCATTTAACCAAACCTAACTGTCATATCTGTATAACTGTTATTTTATATATATATGAAGAGTTCAGATGAAAAAGCCTCTAAGTGCCATTTGAAATTTTCTTCTAAAATGATCATTTTTATCAAGCTTGTATATTTAAGTTCAGTTATTTCACTTAAATGGCAATGACGATTACCTATTAATTGCCATTTAAGTGAAATTACTGAACTTAAATATACAAGCTTCATAAAAATTACCATTTTAGAAGAAAATTTCAAATGGCATTTAGAGGCTTTTGCATCTGAACTCTTCATATATATATATATATATATATATATATATATATATATATATACACTATAGGTTATATGTGTTTGCGCACATGATATCAGGAAGCAACATATACACACATGACGACAGGAGTGAGGGCGGTGCGTAAATCGAGTTATCTCTCCCACTTCTGCTAGTTTTTCTGAGATCTCTTATCCCATGTGGATTGATGGCCATTATTATTACAGACGTCCTGTGGTATAAGTACATAACTCCATCTACCCTAGTAAAACTAATCCTGTCCAAATAGGGCAAACATGATATGTTCTTCACAGAAAATATGGGTGGACCCAGGCGTGATGAGAACAGTGGAAACTTCTCAGAAATAATGAAGTGTTGCTTGAGCTGTAAATAACACTGAGACTAACACTTCTTATCTGTAGGATCACAGCAGGGCCAAGAGTATATGAGTATAATAAGATCATGGACATACAGAGAGATTCATATGCTAATGAATATCAATCTTTCACATACACAGTAGGCTATATGATACATTTTAATTTTTCACAAAGTAAGATCTCGCAGAAACGATATTTTTCTCAAACATTTTGCATTCTTTATTTTGAGGTAAAACCGTTTCTCAAAAAGAGGAAGTTAAATTGTGGAAGTTCTTCAAGCCCACCAGATTCACAGAAACACACACTCACACTATCAACGCCTCAAGACATGCAAACACTGATGAGCATCAACCACAAACGTCCATACAGACAAAACCCCTTTGAACCAGATCTGAAACTGAGGCCTTCTGTGGTTTGAATGCAATACTGTAAAATACACCAAAAACATCTGTTTGCTGCTCATATTTATCATGATATTAAATATGTAATAAGTCATTCAGATTTTAATCCTCAATATTTATGTGAAGTTTTAATTTGAACTCAAACCATCAGAATAATGGCCATCATCATGTTAAATAATGACATTTGATCTGCAAGCATTGAGAATAATAAAGAATATAAAACTAACACGCAAAACTAAAAAAAACATCCAGCTAAGAATAAATACTTGTGAACAAATTTCTGAGCCGTTCCTTTTAAGCTTTTACATCACAACCACATGGTGTAAAGTTTAGCTAAATGCTAATGCTCCGCTTTTGTGCTAAATGCTCCGCTTTCTCCATATGAAATTATGTTTGACCTTTTGACCAGCACTTTGGTTGTTATTAAATGTGCTATATAAATAAAAAAATATATAATAAAACTAAACCAGTAACTCCTATGCATTAACAAGCAGGATCCCAGAAATCAAATGAAGCTAAAATTATTCAAAAACATTTTTTAAAAACTAATATTTTATTGAATATTCGTTGCGTTTTTATCATCTAAATTGTGCTGCAAATTATTGCAAAGCTACTTAGTCCTAAATTATGCAATTAATATCAAGTCCAAACGTTAGTACAAAGCCATGTGTACATAAAGCATTTATATTTACAATAAATAATAGTTTAGCAACTGAACGTTATATCGCAAATATTTGCATTTGGGCTGAATGATAAGTTAAGTGAGCCCATAAATTTGATTAAGCCAGAACAGGTTTTGTTGAGCTGCTCGCCTGCTTTTCTTGGGTTTGTACATATAGAAACCCTTGTCTTCCTAAAACCTCACGCACGTCTATCCCTCTGGATACCCTTATTTAGCCTATAAACAAATATCTTGTTCAACTTTAGCATTGTTTGTGCTTGTTAGGCAAGGTAAAGCAGGTCAAGATTTTTCATATCTATTTACATTTTGTGAATTGATGGCTAATTCAATCTCATTAGTACTGTCTGTTTGTTAGTACTATCATTACCTTGTAAAATAGTTCTGTTTTTTTTTCTCTGTGAGATCGGGATATTGCACATTTCCCACACGCCGGTAAATCATTTTGGTTTAAAATGGTTTAGGCTCAAATTTTATGATAAATGTTTATAAATACTAATGTAATTTTCACTTATGTAAAGTTTGTAAATGTTTTTTTTTTGTTTTTTTGGGCAGTATTAATGTGTGATAAACAGACATATCTTTTTTTTCTCAAACGCTATTTGACTCTGTACGACTTTTGTACGATTTTCTACCAGAAAATTCTGCCCACACAACACAAATAAAAGTATTTTAAGTAAAAGTAATACAAAAGTTCAGAGTGACTGACGATGTTTACATGCACTTAAAATCATCTCATGTGCCCTGAAACATGTAAACGCAGCACTTCTTTAGCATGTTGCAGTTTTGTCGCCATATCCATCTTTCTAGTGTGCATGTACACTGTACTGACTGTGATCACTGCATCATTTGAGAAGAAGTGCTTCAGCGTCTCGGGACGACACTTGCATACACCACCTCATCCTCCTGCTGAAAAACACAAAGACAGAAGATACAATCAGATACATGCTCAACATGCTTGTTTTAAATTGCTGATTAAATTAAATTTGAATATGATTTTAACTATGCATGAACTTTAACCCCTTAACTGTCACCGTCCAGGTATCGGGACGCCTAACTTTACTTCACTATATTTCTATTAAATCCTAATCTAATTATGACAAATTATATATTTTTGGAAAGGTCTAAGACTTCTAATTAAATATTTGACCCCTGTTTTGTGTTAAAAATTATGTAGGAAGAGTAATTAATGAATTTATGACAAGAGTGCACCTAAAAAATCTGCATCATAACAGGAGGTCTGACCTTTGTCACAAAAAGTTGATGCACCCACTTTTAATCATTGAAACTTCTGTTTTTATGCTAAAAGTTCATAATAAAACATATAATCTAGTATTTTTCAATAAAAAATAAAAATTATAGTATAACATTATCCTCTAAAAATTATAATATATATGTATATATTATCCTCTAAAATATAATAATATTTTTTATCACCTTTTTTTATTATATCACATATTTTAGTAGTTATCATAAATTAGGTATCATTTGAAAGCTTATAAACTCAGAATTCATCCTGTGAAAACCATTTCATAATTGAACGTTGCGTTACCATAGAAACGGTACTTATTTTATGAGGCTCCTCCCCTTTGGGGCATCCTTATATTTCATAATTTATGATCAAAACCTTTTCTAATCTTGACAAAGAAGCTTGATATTTGGACAGAAATGTATTAATTTATTAAGGCAGAATGTACACAACGAAATTCAATGGAATTCAATGGCACCCGGTGGCTATTTTTGGTACTACGCCTAAACAAAATCTCATGGGAACTTCAATTTTTGTGATATCAACTTTAAATTTGGAACATAACTTGGTTAGATTTATGGCTTTGATTTTATAGTAATTTTAGAGTAAAAATATTTTGTAAAATATATATTTTATATAAATCAAAAAATATATAGTATATTTGATTTACTGTGAATTAAAACTTCCATAACTTTTTCATACTTTCATTTTTTGAAGTGTTTTCACTTCAGCAATAATCAAACTTGGGTATATATTCCAAGGCATTCTTGAATTACAACCATTTAAGTGTAAATAGAGCATTTAACCCCCATTCTCAAAAAGGGTTGGTGACAGTTAAGGGGTTAACTTATGAAGGAGGCCCTGTCTGTTACACCTGCTGCCCTAAACTACACCGCAAATCACTCATATTCACTGTCACCATTTTTGTTTTTAATATGTATCCCTATATTATTTAAATAGGCTAGTCTTTTTTTCGGCATATAGTGGTCCATCATACACTGTTAAAAATTTTCCCGTTAAAAAACAGTAAAGAACTGGCAGCACGGTTGCCAGCAAGTTACTGTTAAATTAACAGTTTTTTACTGTTAGTGAAATTTACAGTTCACTACCGTTTATTAAAAAACAGTAATTAACTGGCAGCACGGTTGCCAGCAAGATACTGTTAAATTAACGGTGTCTTACTTTTGGTTAAATTTACAGTTGTTACTGCTTTTGCAAATGCATAAAGCAGTTTCTACATGTTACAGCAATATCCTGAAAAAAGCATGGGCACTTATTTGTTCTTCATATTGAAATTAGTGTAAACTACACAAATATACAATATGGTATTGTGTAATGTATTGAATAATGGACAGTTACCAAAAAGGACAACTTTTCCCCCTGTGTTTTTAAAGATTATTTTCTGAACCTTGTGATTTAATACATTTCCCTGTTGCAGTCTTGCTATAAAATACCAAAAGTGAATAAATTTAAAAGTGAAATAGTAAATTAAAAATGTCACAGAAGAAAAGCAGCTTTAAGTATTGTTTCAAAACATGTCTCGTTTATTAAACTTCTGAAACTCTTTTTGGAAAAAAAGCATAAAGGACATAACTAAATAATAAAAAAAATAACTAAAATTCAAGGTTTAGAAGTTACAACAAACATAAATAAACAAGATGTTTCCAAAATCAGAATCTGAACTATCCTGTAACTTGAACAAGTCCTTAACAAATGACTAAGTATACTGTCATTTTCTTTTTTTTTCCTCTGGACACAAACAGTGAATTACTTTATTCACGTGATTTTGAGTGTGTGTGTGTGTGTGTGTGTGTGCATGTATATGCGTGTGTGTGTGTGTGTGTGTGTGTGTGTGTGTGGGTGTGTGGGTGCGTGGGTGTGTGGGTGTAATACTTGTATAAAGTCCCACTCAAAATCCATCAATTTTTTAAGCAGACTGGAGACACGAGGGTTCACTGTTTTGTTTTTCTGGGCGAGCTTCCCCGTCCGTTTTGAAATGACTCCTCCAACCTTGGTGCCTTTTTCTGGGTTTATCCCGATGAACTGCCTGAAAAACAAACATGTTTGTTCAGAATTAGTTTACTCACAAAGAACATATAAATTTGCTATAATCTTAACTATTCTTGTTTTAAGATCACTTCCTCTAACTTTGTCAGGAAAGGATAGCTTTCTGAACAATCTTTTGGGGGTGAAGGATGTGATTTAATCTAGAATAAAGATATCTCCTTATTCAAGCTTTTGCATAGCACACCTTATATGCTATTTTAGCAATGTTTAAAACATTTTAACAAAATCATTTGATCATCATTTAGGTGTCAAAGATGAGGCTTCCTTCCAAGGTTTTCACCAACACTTCACCACCACCAAAGCCCTGTTTATTTCCTTGACAGTCATCTATGGCTACTCACTGGGCTTCAAATAGTTTAAAAGAAAATGTCTTTATTTGATGCTAGATTCCATTAATTAGGGCCAAATTGTGTTGTATCAATTAACAACACATTCTCACCCCAAGGCGTCACCTTTGACCATGCTTCAATATTTGACGTTTTAGGCGCCCTTTAGCGTCACTTACATGACGCGATCCTACGGCATCATCTAACTGAAGCTAAAGGAAAGTGTCAGTTTGAGGACGCGGTTAGGTTTAGGTGTGGGGTGGGGGTAGGGTACACGCGATCCTAGGGCGTCATCTAACTGACGCTAAAGGGCGCCTAAAGCGTCAGATATTGAAGCATGGTCAAATGCTTCCCAAGGCGTCAGTTAGGTGACGCCTTGGGAGTGAGAATGGGCTGCAATTAAACATACAACACTGCAACATGAAAAATTTTATGTAAAGCTGCGTTGAAATGATATGCATTATAAAAAGTGCTATATAAATAAAAGTGAAGTGAATTGAATGTATGCATCCAAGTATTTACCTTTGAATAAATTCCAGTGTGCATGCTGCCTCAGCTTGGTATTGAAGATTGAAGTTGTAAAAAGTAGAAAAAACAGCAGCAAGCCCAGACACAAAAGCCGACTGGATGCCCTCAGAAATAATATGACCCTCAAGGCTGATCATCCAGTGCTGAATACAGCTTCCTGGTGTTTCACCTGAAACTTTAAAATGAAAAACTGTCAGCATCGGCATAAAAACATGAATCTGCCACCACCGTATTGTAAATGAAATCATTGACAGAGCCATTTTTATTAAATTTTCAACGTGTTGATCATGGACTTATCTGGGCAAACATTTAATTTAAAATGTGTATTGTGAAATTATGTTCTCAACATTGTTAATGGGTTAGTTCAACCATAAAAAGAAAATCCTGTCATGAATTACTCACCCTTATGTTCCAAACCCATAAAACTTTAATTTATCTTTAGACAAAGATATTTATAAAATTGTTTAATAATTGTTGTCCATCAATTAAAAGTCCATGTTAAACATAAACTCAACAGAAACAACACTGGACAAGAAGATGATATAATTAGTGTGTGTTGTGTGTGTGTGTGTATGTGTGTGTAAACTATCCTTTTAAGTAAATTAATATAAAAATTGAAAATTAAGTAAATAATTACTCACCCTGGTGTTGTTCAAGGCCATATGTTCTTTTTCAGATAATAAATTAAAGAAAAATTGACTACACATGTAATCTGAAATCTGGTTTCTGACAATTGAAATCAGAAAATGATTCTATGTGACTCGTGTCATATATTCCAAGTGTTCTGGGGGTATACAAACCGAAATGTACTGTAAATTTACACGACACGAGACTCTATAGCACCACATTTCACTCCAAATCATGCTCTGCAGCATGATAACACTGCAGCAGCAATAACTAACGTTTAAATATGAATTAGTGTTAATAAATATTCTAAAGTAACACTGCAGCGGCAACAACAAAACTTTAAATGTGAATTAGTGTTAATAAATTTTAAATTACGTGTTGGGCAAAATAACACTGCAGCAGCAACAGTGAAACATGAATTAGTCTTAATGATTACTAAAAATTACGTACTGGGAAAAGTAACACTGCAGCAGCAATAACTAAACTTTAAATATTAATTAGTCTTAAAGATTATTCTAAATTTCGTGCTGGACAAAGTAACAATACAGCTTAACTTTAATATGAATTATTCTTAATGCTTATTCTATCACTTAACTTATATCAAAACCTGGATATATGCAAAAATAAAGCCACCATTAAAGTAGGCCTAACAATACAATCACTTGTACAACAAATAAATCACCCTGAGATGTACAGATTAGGCCTACAACAAGTTTATCCCCATTTAAAAGCACAAAAAGCCCGAAATTTAGGTTTTGTCCAACGGTTTTCCGAATAATGAAAAATCAAGCTGTAACACTTTAGCGCGCTAAGACGACGATGTAATTCACATGCAACAGTGTTTTTACTTATAGCTTTGCATAAACTTTGCAGAAGAATTGATTTTGGATGAAACTCACCCTGTAATCGGGAATTATCCGTGTGAGGAATCCAACTTCCCTCACGATGTCGCAGTTGGTGCTTTTATCACTGCGAATACAAAAATAGTTAGGCTACTTCCAATATCCAAAATACAAGTTAGTAACAATTGCAGATGTAATGCAGTTTTCTATCACAACGAGCAAAACAAAAGGGAACTCACCTATTATAAGTATGAAGATGGATGAAAAATCCATGCGTGCTCACTGCAGCTCTTCCGATGTCAAGTCAAAAATACTGTTAAGTACTGTTTTGTTTCCCTCGAGCAATAATTACGTTAAAATGCCGTTATAATTTTTCTACGTCATATTACAAACGCAAAAAAACAGCAATGTACTGCTTTTGAACAAAACAGGAATATACTGTTGAAATTTGGCCGTAAATTTACAGCAATTTCTAACAGTGTATGATATAATGGTCCGGTTTCACAGACAGGGCTTAGATTAAGCCAGGATTAGGCCTAAATTCAATTATGGCATCTTAGAAGCTTTTATTATAAAATGCCTTGGATAAACATTACTGGTGTGCATCCTGAGTCAAAACAATGGCATTGACATATATTAAGATGCATCAGTCTAAGTTGCCTTCAGTTAAAACAGCTCAAACATGCATTTTAGTCTGGGACTAGACTTAAGCATTGTCTGTGAAACCAGAGGAACGTGTCTGGGATTTTCTGTCGGCTGTTTAGAATTAGAACCAATTATATTAATAAATTAATCACTCTTTTGAATCATTTCTTTGCAATCAATTAGCCAAACGAGTTAGGATAATGGTTTGAATTGATTTGCGATTCAGCCCGAATTATGCATTATGCAGTAGATGGATCCCATTGACTTCCATAGTATGGGGAAAATTGTGTTCAGCAGACACAAGGGTGAGTAAATCATGCCAGAATTTACATTTTTGGGTGAATTAAACCCTTTTAATGTCTGACGCCATGAGACGTTTAGAGCAGCTTTCCACTCGCAACACGATATGGAGAACCAGGAGCCCTGGATGAAGTGAATCTTTACAAACAGTCTTTTGAAAGGTCTTTATTAAGTTAAACTTATTTGTTAGCGACACTTTACTGCAGATCGAATTATTTTTAAACCTGAATATAAAAACATATTTAAAAAAATTTAGACCTGAATATTAAAAAATTAAGTTAGATTCAATTGGATTTGCTGATCTACTTTGAGATCTATTTATATTGCCCCATCTGTTAACAGTATAGCTACTCCTAGAGGTTAATTAATATTTTGTACACTAGAGAGCGCTAGTTTTACAGTGTAAGCACATGTATTATGACTCTCTAACAGGGGCTCAGAAATTAGCTGGTTAGCATAGCCTTGTTAGGCCCTGCTGTTACATACTACTGTAATTATGCCATTCTGTAGGCAAACGTCATCTTTCTTTTGATGGTTATCAAATAGTAGTTAATTATTTTTGGATGCCTTTAATAGTGTAAAATAGATGTGTGTTTTTCCACTGTCTGCTGAAGGAAGTTTTAAGATAGCCTAAAGAGCTATCAGAGAGTGAGTCACATGACATTATTAGTCATGCGGTTGGCGTCTGTCATGCTACACTGCTAGTGATGTAAAAAAAAAAAGTTTGCTACTGGAAAATCATCACTGTTTAAAACAATGACTCAATTGCAATGCATTTATTTTTACTACTTATCTTTATAAGGATTGTTTCTTTTACATTAACAGATCAACATTAGTTGGGTGGACCCAGGCGTGATAAGGACATGATAACAAGAACAGTGGAAACTTCTCAGAAATAATGAAGTGTTGCTTGAGCTGTAAATAACATTGAGACTAACACTTCTTATCTGTAGGATCACAGCAGGGCCAAGGGTATATGAGTATAAAGATCATGGACATACAGAGAGATTCATATGCTGCTGAATATCAATCTTTCACATACACATAATAGGCTATATGATGCATGCATATCACATGAACATTTCACGTTTACACAATAAGATCTCAAAGAGAATGTATTTTTCTCAAGCTGTTTGCATTATTTATTTTGAGGTAAAACCGTTTCTCAAAAAGAGGAAGTAAAATTGTGGAAGTTCTTCAACCCCAGAACATTCACAGAAACACACACTCACACTATCCACGCCTCAAGACATGCAAACACTGATGCACACTGACCACAAACGTCCAGTAAAGACACATTCTCACACACGTTCTCAACAGATGAAAACACTTTCCTTTCCAGATCTGAAACTGAGGCCTTCTGTGTTTTGAGTTTGTTGAATGCAACACTGTAAAATACACCAAAAACATCTGTTTGCTGCTCATATTAATCATGAAATTAAATGTGGACTGTCATTCTGTAGATTTTAATGCTCAAGATTTATGTGAAGTTTTGATTTGAACTTCATCATGTTAAGTAATGGCATTTGATCTGCAAGCATTGAGGAGAACAAATAATATCAAACTAACAAACATCCAGCTAAAAATAAATACTTCCATGTTCAACAGTTTTGTTTCCATAGTCTGTGCTATGGTTATCACTGAGCCAGTCATTGCAATTTTGAATGTTAAATCCGAAACATTGAAGCGTGTATGTTGCCATTAGTCCTCTTAGAAGCAAGAAAAAATTTATTCAAATTCTGGTTTACATATAGCCTAAAAAATGTGCAAAGAGCGCTCACTTTACAATCACTAAAACATAAGTCCGACATGAAGAAGCTCAGGATTGGCAGGACCGGCGTGAAGAAGCTCAGGCTCGACATGAAGAAGCTCAGGATTGGCAGGACCGGCGTGAAGAAGCTCAGGCTCGACATGAAGAAGCTCAAGCTCAACATGAAAAAGCTCAGGATTGGCAGGACCGGCGTGAAGAAGCTCAGGCTCGACATGAAGAAGCTCAGGATTGGCAGGACCGGCATGAAGAAGCTCAGGATTGGCAGGACCGGCATGAAGAAGCTCAGGCTTGACATGAAGAAGCTCAGGCTCGACATGAAGAAGCTCAAGCTCAACATGAAGAAGCTCAGGATTGGCAGGACCGGCATGAAGAAGCTCAGGATTGGCAGGACCGGCGTAAAGAAGCTCAGGCTCGACATGAAGAAGCTCAGGCTCGACATGAAGAAGCTCAAGCTCGGCAGGACCGGCGTGAAGAAGCTCAGGCTCGACATGAAGAAGCTCAGGATTGGCAGGACCGGCGTGAAGAAGCTCAGGATTGGCAGGACCGGCGTGAAGAAGCTCAGGCTCGACATGAAGAAGCTCAGGCTCGACATGAAGAAGCTCAGGCTCGACATGAAGAAGCTCAGGATTGGCAGGACCGGCATGAAGAAGCTCAGGATTGGCAGGACCGGCATGAAGAAGCTCAAGCTCGACATGAAGAAGCTCAAGCTCGACATGAAGAAGCTCAGGCTCGACATGAAGAAGCTCAGGATTGGCAGGACCGGCATGAAGAAGCTCAGGATTGGCAGGACCGACATGAAGAAGCTCAGGCTCGACATGAAGAAGCTCAAGCTCGACATGAAGAAGCTTAGGATTGGCAGTACCGGCATGAAGAAGCTCAGGATTGGCAGGACCGGCATGAAGAAGCTCAGGCTTGACATGAAGAAGCTCAGGCTCGACATGAAGAAGCTCAGGCTCGACATGAAGAAGCTCAAGCTCAACATGAAGAAGCTCAGGATTGGCAGGACCGGCATGAAGAAGCTCAGGCTCGACATGAAGAAGCTCAGGATTGGCAGGACCGGCGTGAAGAAGCTCAGGCTCGACATGAAGAAGCTCAAGCTCAACATGAAGAAGCTCAGGATTGGCAGGACCGGCATGAAGAAGCTCAGGATTGGCAGGACCGGCGTAAAGAAGCTCAGGCTCGACATGAAGAAGCTCAGGCTCGACATGAAGAAGCTCAAGCTCGGCAGGACCGGCGTGAAGAAGCTCAGGCTCGACATGAAGCTCAGGATTGGCAGGACCGGCGTGAAGAAGCTCAGGATTGGCAGGACCGGCGTGAAGAAGCTCAGGCTCGACATGAAGAAGCTCAGGCTCGACATGAAGAAGCTCAGGCTCGACATGAAGAAGCTCAGGATTGGCAGGACCGGCATGAAGAAGCTCAGGATTGGCAGGACCGGCATGAAGAAGCTCAAGCTCGACATGAAGAAGCTCAAGCTCGACATGAAGAAGCTCAGGCTCGACATGAAGAAGCTCAGGATTGGCAGGACCGGCATGAAGAAGCTCAGGATTGGCAGGACCGACATGAAGAAGCTCAGGCTCGACATGAAGAAGCTCAAGCTCGACATGAAGAAGCTTAGGATTGGCAGTACCGGCATGAAGAAGCTCAGGCTCAACATGAAGAAGCTTAGGATTGGCAGGACCGGCATGAAGAAGCTCAGGCTCGACATGAAGAAGCTCAGACTCGACATGAAGAAGCTCAAGCTCGGCAGGACCGGCATGAAGAAGCTCAGGCTCGACATGAAGAAGCTCAAGCTCAACATGAAAAAGCTCAGGATTGGCAGGACCGGCGTGAAGAAGCTCAGGCTCGACATGAAGAAGCTCAGGATTGGCAGGACCGGCGTGAAGAAGCTCAGGCTTGACATGAAGAAGCTCAGGCTCGGCAGGACCGGCGTGAAGAAGCTCAGGCTCGACATGAAGAAGCTCAAGCTCAACATGAAGAAGCTCAGGATTGGCAGGACCGGCATGAAGAAGCTCAGGCTCGACATGAAGAAGCTCAGGATTGGCAGGACCGGCGTGAAGAAGCTCAGGATTGGCAGGACCGGCGTGAAGAAGCTCAGGCTCGACATGAAGAAGCTCAGGCTCGACATGAAGAAGCTCAGGCTCGACATGAAGAAGCTCAGGCTCGACATGAAGAAGCTCAGGCTCGACATGAAGAAGCTCAGGCTCGACATGAAGAAGCTCAGGATTGGCAGGACCGGCGTGAAGAAGCTCAGGCTCGACATGAAGAAGCTCAGGATTGGCAGGACCGGCGTGAAGAAGCTCAGGCTCGACATGAAGAAGCTCAGGCTCGACATGAAGAAGCTCAGGATTGGCAGGACCGGCATGAAGAAGCTCAGGATTGGCAGGACCGGCATGAAGAAGCTCAGGCTCGACATGAAGAAGCTCAGGCTCGACATGAAGAAGCTCGGGATTGGCAGGACCGGCATGAAGAAGCTCAGGATTGGCAGGACCGGCATGAAGAAGCTCAGGATTGGCAGGACCGGCATGAAGAAGCTCAGGATTGGCAGGACCGGCATGAAGAAGCTCAGGCTCGACATGAAGAAGCTCAAGCTCGACATGAAGAAGCTTAGGATTGGCAGGACCGGCATGAAGAAGCTCAGGCTCAACATGAAGAAGCTCAGGATTGGCAGGACCGGCATGAAGAAGCTCAGGCTCGACATGAAGAAGCTCAAGCTCGACATGAAGAAGCTTAGGATTGGCAGGACCGGCATGAAGAAGCTCAGGCTCAACATGAAGAAGCTCAGGCTCAACATGAAGAAGCTCAGGATTGGCAGGACCGGCATGAAGAAGCTCAGGCTCGACATGAAGAAGCTCCGACTCGACATGAAGAAGCTCAAGCTCGGCAGGACCGGCATGAAGAAGCTCAGGCTCGACATGAAGAAGCTCAGACTCGACATGAAGAAGCTCAAGCTCGGCAGGACCGGCGTGAAGAAGCTCAGGCTCGACATGAAGAAGCTCAGGCTCGACATGAAGAAGCTCAGGCTCGACATGAAGAAGCTCAGGCTCGACATAAAGAAGCTCTGGATTGGCAGGACCGGCATGAAGAAGCTCAGGATTGGCAGGACCGGCATGAAGAAGCTCAGGCTCGACATGAAGAAGCTCAGGCTCGACATGAAGAAGCTCAGGATTGGCAGGACCGGCATGAAGAAGCTCAGGATTGGCAGGACCGGCATGAAGAAGCTCAGGCTCGACATGAAGAAGCTCAAGCTCGACATGAAGAAGCTTAGGATTGGCAGGACCGGCATGAAGAAGCTCAGGCTCAACATGAAGAAGCTTAGGATTGGCAGGACCGGCATGAAGAAGCTCAGGCTCGACATGAAGAAGCTCAGACTCGACATGAAGAAGCTCAAGCTCGGCAGGACCGGCATGAAGAAGCTCAGGCTCGACATGAAGAAGCTCAAGCTCGGCAGGACCGGCATGAAGAAGCTCAGGCTCGACATGAAGAAGCTCAGGCTCGGCAGGACCGACGTGGGGCTCTGGCTGATGGTCAGGTGTGACGTGAAGATCAAGAGACTCGGGAGTAACGGCCATCTTGTAATGTGGCTCTGGAAGGCTGGTCTCGGGATCTGGAGCCATTTCTAGGCTGAACTCGGAAACAGAAGCCATCTCAGGGCTAAACTCGGGAACTGAAACTGTTTCATGGGCTGATCTCAGAATCTGAAGCTTTCTCTGGGCTGAAGTTTGTAGTAAAACATGGGGCTGATGACCAGAGAAGGGAAGCTGATTTCAGCGCTGACCGTAGACGCGTAAACGCAGGATCTGACACTTTTGCCCCCAGGTCCATGCTGTTAGAAATCTTCCGTGTTCGGGGAAACACTGGTAAAGTGAATTTTAATAGTCTTGCTATTAGTGATGAAGACGTGGAGCAATGGACTGATGTGACCTTAAGTTTGCATATTTACTTGCTGTTTTTTATAATGGTGTTGTCAGCTTTACTGACATCTCGTTTCACACTAAAGGTTTTTTTTCTTCCCCAGTTAACTTCCTGTTTTCTGTTAACCATCTGTGCTGCTGCATCTTTCACAGAACTAACTTCACTTCTCTTCATCTTTTTTCTAAAATTACTTTAATACTAGTGAAACAATTGATGTCCGTTCCTCTTAAGTTCCCCAGAATCACAAATGGTTTCTTGTATGATAAAGTCACAACAATTCTGAATATTCTATACAATTTACATAATTAATTTGAAACAATTTTTTTTGGTTTTTACATAGAAAAAAAAAGAGTAAGTGGTCGAACAAAATAAATTTGCTTTGTACCAGGGATGGGCAGTTTCTCTGTAGTACTGCTGTCCTGCACCTGAACCAATCTATGTCTTCAGCATTACTAAAATTGATTGATTTAAAAAAAAAAAAAAAATGTAATCAGGTTTGGATCTAAACTTTGCAGGATAGTAGCCCTGCAGGACGGAAGTTGCCCATCCCTGTTTAAAGGGCAAGACACCAATGACTCAGTTATAAATGATCTTACCGCTTTTTGCACATTTCTTTTGTAGAATATTGGATCAGCATAAGTTATCTCATCTTCAGAAGTCCGAACCGTTTCTAAGAAGAAGAATAGATGTATTAAAACAAAACAATAGAGCTCAATCTTAAAACTACAAGATTTAGAGATATAAGATGTTTCTTCATTAACATGTTTTATTATTTTGAAGTATAATATTAAAGGGTTAGTTCACCCAAAAATTAAAATTAAGTCATTCATTACTCACCCCCATGCTGTACCAACCCCGTAAGACATTTTTGATTGAATCTGAGGGCTGGATCACTTTTCCATAGACAGCCTGAGGGACTGCCTCTTGACGGCCCATAAAGTCATTAAAAGAAAAGGTTTAAATATTCCATGTGCCTACAGCGGCTCAACTATAACTTTATCAAGCGACGAGAATACTTTTTGTGCGAAAAAAAAACGTAAGTTCACGTAAAAAACGAGACCGTTCTTCTTCGACTACTTTTTGTTACCGGCTGCTCACCGCTTAGGAGTTTTACCGCCCCCTACCGTATAAGATGACGTACTGCTTGTAAACAGAACGTTTTGCGCCTCCGGCTATATCAGTACATCATCTTATACGGTAGGGGGCGGTAAAACTCCTAAGCGGTGAGCAGCCGGTAACAAAAAGTAGTCGAAGAAGAACGGTCTCGTCTCAGTTCTCGCGCATGCGCCCATAAGGAAGTAATGGAAAGTCGAATAAAGTCGTTATTTACGTTTTTTTCGCACAAAAAGTATTCTCGTCGCTTGATAAAGTTATAGTTGAGCCGCTGTAGGCACATGGAATATTTAAACCTTTTCTTTTAATGACTTTCTGGGCCGTCAAGAGGCAGTCCCTCAGGCTGTCTATGGAAAAGTGATCCAGCCCTCAGATTCAATCAAAAATATCTTTATTTGTGTTCCGAAGATGAACGAAGGTCTTACGGGGTTGGTACAGCATGGGGGTGAGTAATTAATGACTTAATTTTCATTTTTGGGTGAACTAACCCTTTAAAGTGTATCCTTATGTTGGCTTGAATGTATCATTATAATTCTGAGACAAAATCTTCCAAAGCTTTCTACCTACACCCACCAAACTCGACTCAAACCTTTAGACTGTTCTCTTTTATCTCTTTTATAACTGATTGAACATACGGTTTTCCAAAATCCCATTACATTCCCACTTACATTGTTATAAGTTCAAATAAGCCAAAACTGTTCAGACTTCAACTATCACAATTCAAAACACACAAGGCCACTAGACTCATTTAAGCTTCCATTTTATGTAATATTTCTAAGCCATGTATACCTCATGTAGCCCCGCCCCTTTTCAGCACTGTGGTTATTCTGTTCTGTCTTCTGGTTTGTATTTCCAGAGCATGAAGGTAACATCTTACAGATTTATGAATGAACCATTTGTTTTAAAAGCTTCCCAGTCCACTGACATTAGGACATCCACATCAAACATTACAATGCATGCGACAATGCTTCAACAGCTTACTCTTCGACAGCAGTGCCAATGTATAGAGCTAACATAAAAACAGAAGTTGTGTGCTTGTTTCTCTGGTGCACAAGTTCTGTAGACCCATTTAATCCTTCATTCTAATATTACCTTTCTTCCTTCGTCCCTTCCTTTCTTCAGAAGTCCGAACCGTTTCTAAGAAGAAGAATAGATGTATTAAAACAATAGAGCTCAATCTTAAACTCTGAGATATAAGATGTTTCTTCATTAACATGTTTTATTATTTCAAGTATAATATTCAAGTATAGACCATTTCACAAGATGTAAACAACACTGGTCCAGAAGCACTTGCTGTTTCAGTTTTTTAACTCTACATAAAAGCTGGGATAAAATACAACCAACAGAACATATAAAACTGAATCAAAAAGTTAAACAAACATCTTTAAGATGTTTTCTTTACATGTGAAATAAAGAAAACAGTTACAAACTGAAACAGGAAGTGTTTCTGGACCAGTGTTGTTTACATCTTGTGAAATGGTCAATATCCTTATTATGTTGGCTATAACTTATTATTATAATTCTGAGACAAAATCTTTCAAAGCTTTCAACCTACATCCACCAAACCAAACTTGTTTCTCTGGTGCATAAGTTCTAGACTCATTTAATCCTCCATTCTAATATTACCTTATCTTCCATCCATGCTTACCTTCTTGATCTGTTTTTCCACGTTTTTTGCAGATCCAGATGATCCCGACTAAAGTAACAGTCAACAGAGATCCAGCAACAGCAGCAGCACCAGCAAAGATCAGCATATGATTCGGAGGGCCCTCATTCTGAGAGTCCACATTCTGAGGGCCCACGTCTGAAGTGGAAGGGGAAGGAGACGACTGTGAGGGAGACTGTGAGTATGACCGCGAAGAAGACTGCGAAGGAGACTGTGTGACCTCTGCTGTAATGGGTACAGAGAGTCTTTAGTGTAAGTAAGTTTATAAAATCAAACTAAGTGAATATGTCTGATCCACAACAGACACTATAAACATCAGCACAGCTGAGTTAAGCATCTCTGCATCTGCTCCAAATTCTATGTGAAAATACAATGGCACATAAATGTAATATAAGCACAATATCTGAATCGCCTCAACCTTCACTGTTACAGGCGGATCTGATGCTGCTTTGTTTTTGTTTTGTACATTAAATGCAGCATCAGAACAACCGTAAACGATGTTGTCATGACAGAGCATACTTGAACGCTCTCCTGCAAAAATTAGCATTGTCATCCGAATCACAATCTCACTGACTAGATCAAACCTCAGTATTGTCTTATCTACATTTCCTTTCCCTGACATGATATGTTTACCTGACTAATACTAGTTAAGTTGTTATGCAGTTGCAAATCTATTGGGAGCTACAAAAAATTCTAATGGAATAATAGCAAGCATGAGGCAGCATGTGTCTTCTACTATTTAAATATTAATTTTAAAGGTTCTCAAAGCGATCCTGGGTGTTGACATTCGAATATTTTCAAACAAATCGGAGCTAGACCCTCCCTCCTCCGCATCTCATCTCCTCCCCCTCCCTTCCGTGCTTCCTGAAATAATTGTGAATGTGCATAGTTCTAGCTAATTATATCCTTGTGTGGGTTTGGCGAACATAAGCGTCAATTTAGAAAAAAAAAAAAAACAATTTAACATTACCCACCTGTCCAGCGAAAACAGAGCAACCTGAATGTCGGACTGGAAGCCCTTCTGCCGCCGGAGTTCTCGCCATCGTTCAAAAGCTTTGCTACCGATGTAAATTCGGAACTTCGCACGTTCTTTATCCGACTCCTTCTTCTTTTTAATTTGTTCCTCAAAACGACGTCTCTTTGGTCGTGTGTCGGTAATTTTTCAAACTTCCCTCTGATGCTTCGCTGCTCTCCTTCACACACACACACCCTTCATGTGCACGCGCACTAACCCCCCAGACCCACCCTCAAATACTTCTTGCCAGTGATTGGCTAGAACACTGTTTGTTGGGTTTCGTGGTCCGGGTAAGACATGATTGTTTTTGTTGCCGTTTGTGGAGCCTGTGGTGTCTACAGAGACCGCGTTTTTTTACAGTGTGTTTAGGGGACAGGCAGCTAGCCGATAGTGAGGAGACGTTTGATGTATTTGACAAAGAATGTTTTGGCCCAGCATCGCTTAGAGAACCTTTAAAGGGTCTGTAAGGTAGCCCTCTCGCCATGCTTTTTAAAAATTAGTGTATTACAAATACATTCCTTGTTGCATTACGATTGCAAGTTTAAAATGTACTGTATAAGCCATCTACTGTATTTAAACAAGCATCAGGTATTGTTTGTTATTCTCTGTGGTGTTGACATTCTTTCTTTACCCCCACCTTTTCAGCACCCCCACCCCAAAACATCTTCGCATGAATAGAATAATCAAATGCCAGATAAATTATTATAATAATGGCCAGTAATCAATTGGCATTCCAACCTAGATTCGACATAGTGACAAAATGCAGTCAGTTAGACATATTTCCAGAAGCAGAGTTGGCTACCCCTGATTTATATAATATTTGTGATATACTTCATATACTTTTTGGTCAAAAAATGGTACAATATTTGACTTTTTAATGTACCTGCACATGTGTGGCTGCATAGTGTGTTGATGTCCAGATGTGTGGTCTGGTTGCTGATGGGATTGTTCAGCACACAGCTGTAGGTGTTGTTATCCTGATATTCCACCTCCAGAGGTAGAGAGAGACTGATGCTGAGATCACACACACTGATGTTGGACAATACACTCATTCCTCTGTACCAGGAGAGAGTCGCATCACACACACTCAACACTGATGAACACACCAATGAACAATTTGATGATGATGATGTTGATGATGATGAAGAACAGGGTGAAGAGTTACTGATGACAGGAACAGGGAGAGGAGCTGGAATATAGAGCATTAAGAATATGAATAACTCACAACAAACTGTTGACATTTTTATCCATCCATCCATCCATCTTTTTCCGCTCATCCGGGGCCTGGTCGCGGGGGCAGCAGTCTAAGCAGAGATGCCCAGACTTCCCTCTCCCTAGACACTTCCTCCAGCTCTTCTGGGGGGGCACCGAGGCGTTCCCAGGCCAGCCGGGAGACATAGTCTCTCCAGCGTGTCCTAGGTCTTCCCCGGGATCTCCTCCCAGTGGGACGTGCCCCGAACACCTCCCCGGAGAGGCGTCCAGGAGGCATCTGGAACAGATGCCTGAGCCACCTCAGCTGACCCCTCTCGATGTGGAGGAGCAGCGGCTCATCCCGAGTGACCGAGCTTCTCACCCTATCTCTAAGGGATCGCCCAGCCACCCTGTGGAGACAGCTCATTTTGGTCGCCTGTATCTGGGATCTTGTCCTTTCGGTCATGACCCAAAGCTCATGACCATAGGTGAGAGTAGGAACGTAGATTGACTGGTAAATCGAGAGCTTTGCCTTACGGCTCAGCTCCTTCTTTACCACAACAGACCGGTCGTGTCGACCAAGACAGCCCCACAACATCCAGAGACTTGAGGTATTCAGGGCGGATCTCATCCACCCCCGTTGCCTTGCCACCAAAGAGTTTCTTGACTACCTCGGTGACCTCAGCTAGGGTGATGGACGAGTCCACCTCTGAGCCCTCAGCCTCTGCTTCCTCAATAGAAGACGTGACGGCGTGATTGAGGAGGTCCTCGAAGTATTCCTTCCACCGTCCGACGACATCCCCAGTTGAAGTCAACAGCTGCCCACCCCTACTGTAAACAGCATTGGTAGGGGACTGTTTCCCTCTCCTGAGGTGCCGGAAAGTTTGCCAGAATCTCTTCGAGGCCAGCCGATAGTCCTTCTCCATGGCCTCACCGAACTCCTCCCAGGCCCGAGTTTTTGCCTCCACTACCAACCGGGTTGCAGTCCGCTTGGCCTGCCGGTACCTGTCAGCTGCCTCCGGAGTCCCACGAGCCAACCAGGCCTGATAGGACTCCTTCTTCAGCTTGACGGCATCCTTTACTTCCGGTGTCCACCACCGGGTTAAGGGATTGCCGCCTCGACAGGCACCGGAGACCTTACGGCCACAGCTCCGAGGAGCCGTTTCGACAATGGAGGTGGAGAACATGGTCCACTCAGACTCAATATCTCCAGCCTCCCTCGGGATCTGGTCGTAGCTTTGCCGGAGGTGAGAGTTGAAGATCTCTCTGACAGGAGATTCGGACAAACGTTCCCAGCCATGTTGAAGTCCCCCAGCAGAACGACGGAGTCCCCAGTCGGAGCACTTTCCAGCAGTCCTCCAAGAGATCCCAAGAAGGCTGGGTACTCTGCACTGCCGTTTGGCAGTGAGAGACCTATCCCTGACCCGTAGGCGCAGGGAAACGACCCTCTCGTTCACCGGGGTAAACTCCAACACATGGCGGCTGAGCTGGGGGGCTATAAGCAAACCCACACCAGCCCGCCACCTCTCACCAAGGGCAACTCCAGAGTGGTGAAGAGTCCATCCTCTCTCATGAAGTGTGGGTCCAGAGCCCAAGCCATGCATAGAGGTGATCCCGACTATCTCTAGTTGGAACCTCTCAACCTCACGCACAATCTCGGGCTCCTTCCCCGCCAGCAAGGTGACGTTCCACGTCCCTAAGGCTAGTTTCCATGACATTTTTATGTTGGTGTAAATTTTTCCTCTATGATGGACATGTTTTTTGAGGTTGACAGAAAAATGAAAACTCATTCGACCAGATTGCTTTCATGTGATCGAGTGCGTTCGAACAACCACAAAAGACCTCCTACTCTATGCCTAGTTAATGCATGAACATTATGAGAAGCTCTCTAGCCAGATATCAAACGTAACAAACATTGTTCTCTCACCATTCCTGATTTCTAACACACACTCACTCAGAGCAGAATTGAAAGCTGCAGCTCTCCGTTTGTTTTTTCCGTCTTCTCCGGGCGCGCTCATACTGTATGCAAATTGTGCAAGCTTATTTTTTCCATCAGATCAAAAGGTCGGTGTGGTGAGCAGGACGAGGCCTAGAATGTGTCTAAAATGGGCTATATGCACGCATAAGTTCCGCATTTGACGCAAGGATGCTCGTCCATTTCCGGTTGTGTAGATTAAAGCGGAGGAAAACCGGAGAAAACGGGATTATGGCAGAGTCTTCAAAATTTACTGTCCTCCCGTCTTTGAAATGAAACGTACATACGTTTAGATGTAATTTTATATATAGTTATATTTATTTAATATAATTTTAAAAAGAAGCATAAACACAACGAGGGGTGTCTGTTTTATCTGTTTTTGTGACTAACGTTTCATTAGTATAACCATGGAGTATAAAATTCAATATAAATTCTCAGTATTGCATTGGACTCTACGATCGGCGGAAGTTATCGAGCATCCCTAATGCTTCACCGGAAATACCGCCGTGCATAGAGCCCATTCTTGTGATCCAATCAACCAAAATCCATCTTAATCCCAGGTGTAAACAGGGCCTTAATGGCCCTTTTTGTCAAAATTAGACTAAGTTGTAATTTACAAACAGCTGGTGCAACCAACCCCTCGGTGTATTTTGTGCCTGTTTCAATCAAGTCCCGTATTATGCATGACATCTTTTTCTAGTTATTATTGTGTAAAGCTGAAATTTTCGATACGGAACCCAAGAATTCTCACAAGAACAGACAGCATGCAATAAAACAAACCCACTAATCTGGAGTGAAAGAGTGTAGGACACAACCTTGCACAAATTTCTTTTCTCAATTATAAGCCTTCCTCTTCCTACTCCCTCTTCTTTTCCCATGATTCAAGTCACTAAATGTTCACTAAAAATGTCAATATACCACATATGATGTTGTAACTTGTGAATCTATTGTTTTTTCCCTTTCATGTTTGGTATCGTTTCAAAGGGGTACGTCACCGCTGGCAAAAAGGACTTTCAATAAATCTTGCCTATACTGTAGATTTTTTTTTTAGATTTCGATTTTTTATTTTATTTTTTTTATTTTTTTTTTTAGCAAACATTTAGTCATAATGTTTATATCCACATGCTTAAATGTCCTAATTGAACTAAGGCCTAATCCTAGCTTAATCTGAGCCCTGTCTGTGAAAGAGGGCTGTAGTTTGATTAGTAAAATTGTTTCAATTTCATAGCACTAGAATAGATAATAATGAATTATTTAAGATAATTCTGTTCTTTTGTTGTTTGTGGTGTCTCTTAAAGATCACCATTGGTCCTCACCAACTCTTCCTCGTACAACTCTTTGGGCCCATGTGGATGGGCCCAAAAAAATTCCACAAATGTTTAGATAGTAAAGATTTACAGATCTTTTGTTCTGGTCTGGGTATTTAAATGAGACCTATTATGCAAAATTCCCTTGCAATGTTAAGTGGTGTTTGAACATGCATGTACTGGCAGTGTGTATACACAACCACCCTATAATGGTAAAAATCGACCCAGTCCACTTTTTATAATTCCATAAATGATTACCAGGGGTCTCAGAACAAGTGTTTGCAGATTCTAGCAGCGTGACATCACATATGTTTAGGCCCCGCCCATGACTTCTGACGGACTCTGCCCTATTAGCATAGACCCCACCCTGTTTAGCTCCTAACCAGGGCATTTAACAGCAGCATTCAAGTAAGAAATGTATTAAAGCTACTGAGGTTTTTCAGTCAAGAGCAATGAGTGGTTTTCTAAATTTTTTGTTGTTGTTTGATTCATATGAACAACATATACACATGCAATTTCTTTACTTACTATTTACATTCATAGATATAAGAGATTACAGAGATGATAATCAAAACCAAAGCGATGGTTTAGTTTTTGTCAGAGTATCGGAGGCACCAGCTAGTAAAGGATTCATTTTGAATTAATCTTTAATATGACTCAGGAACACAGGGTTGTCTCAGAGAGTGATTTGTTCATTTTGTGTGCATGTTGCATGCACAACATCCTCTGTACAGGAAAGTTAGGTTCATGTCCAAGTCTTTGTTCATCCAGTGACAGCCCACATTTCACTCGCAGACCACCCCGCTTCAGGGGCAAATTCCATACTTTGGTCCTGAGCAACGTAGCACACGTCCGTGCAAAAGTAAAGATTTTACGGAGGAAAGGAACTACTGAACAGACTAGCCCGACGCCTTATGGTCACAACGCAACCTGCACTCTCTGAGAGTGGTGTATGTGCCAGGCAGACTGAACAACATGTTCCCAGGAGAATGGTCCCTCCATCCCCAGATAGTTCAAACAATCTGGAGCATCTTTGGCAAGGCAGCCAAAGGCCACTCTCACTTTGCCTCCAAAGGCCGCTCTCACTGCCCAATATTCTTTATAAAGAAAGGGAAGGGAAGACCTCCTTTCCCAGGCGAACGGAACAATCTGGCATCCCCGAGCCAAGATGTGGGCCCTCCGTGCATGGCCCCTCAACGGGAACTTAAACACCTCCACGCAGGAGTCCTAAACACTACAGCTCAGTCCACGTCTCTACACTCTTAAATGGTCTGTTTTTTCTGACAGAGTTACGTGAGTAACCGAGGCGTTTCCAATGTGTGTCTCATTAACGAAAATGCGATCAAGCTTTTTCTGGTCTAGACATATCAGTTTAAGGCGAGTTAGAAACCATAGAAAAATATAACTTTATGCTGTCTCACCGAGAGATGTCTACAGCTGAAAATAAATATGCCATGAATGGCTAAATATGATTCATCTCTATCGTCCACTCTTTTCCTCTGAATGTAATGCTAGCTGCACCAATATAACTTAACAAAAAACATCGGGGGTTTTTTCACTGGACGATTTTGAGATTTTGGGCTTCAATAGCATGTCTTCTTTCAGACTTGTGCTGAAAAAAAAGTCCAAAATACACATTAGGGTCTTTATTTTACTACACTTTGTCTGTTTGCGTCTGTAGATTTCGTCTATATTCCTCAAAATTTGGCGTTCTAA